TCATGTGCACACATGGGGCAAGCACTAACCCCTGAATTTATTGACCGCCCTGCCCCCCCTCCCAAACATACAATTTTAGACAACATAGCGGAAACAAAATGCATGTTTGTTCTTTGTTTTTTGTTTGTTTCCTCTTTCCCTTCGATTTTGCAGCCCCAAACCCACTCCTTCACTCCTAATTAACATCGGCAAGATAAGGAATGTAGTCTTTGACAGTCATTTCGATGATGTTGCCATTGGGATCTAACATGAAAGGAGTCTTCCCAGTCGGCCATACGAACGAATAGCCAAGGTCAACGCACCGCTTGCCCATGGAGATTACGGAAGGCGTGTCTTCCAGGATGTAAGCTTCTGCTGGTTCGTTGAATGCCTCGAACTTGATACTTGAACGTTTGGTCGAACATGTTACCCCGTTTGCTGTATGGAAGTTGACGACTTTATCATCATATGTTGGGAGATCCATTCTACTTATTCGTGTGGATGAGATAAGATCATGACCACTTCCAGAATCCAATATGAATCTCTTATCTCTTTCTTCAACAGGAACAGTGATACACATTGTGTTACCCCTTTTGCCATATCGACCCTCGACATGTTGAACATAGTTCTCCACGAAGACCTCCCTGGATACCTCACCGTCCTCGATGTCGAACCTGATCAGAATGTCAAGACTGGGGCCGACGATGACTAGGACTTCATCAATGTCACTGTACTCACCCTTCTCATCGATCAGGATAGCCATTGCCTTCCCTCGGCTCGATGCTAGTCTGCATGAATAAGACCATTGCTCATCTTGCCTTATCTGATCGGTGGGCTTGCCGACTTTACCATGACCTTTGGGGATGGTCTGGGATTTCCGGCTGCACTTCACGAAGTCCTTCTTCACGTACGTCTGAATGCAAGTCTTAGACTCGTCGAATCGTACCTTCTTCTTGGCGACATTCGATGCAACCTTGTGGAATGTCCCTTCGTCATCACTCCATTCATGGACAAGTGCAGGAGTAGCCTTTGAGCTTGGTGCTTCGGTGTTCGGAGCAGTGTTGAAGAGATGAGGATCGTGACGTTTGTTGCATTTGTCTCCGTATCGGCACTTGCCCTTGGCCCAGTGCCAGCATGGTTCATCAATCTTCTTGGTCTTGTTCGCTGGAGATTGACTTCTCGGAGTTCCTGGCTTTCGACCATTACCTTTCGTGTTCTTGTTCGCATCAAACACCTTTTGGTCGTGACTGTATTCACAATCTTTGCCTTTTCTGCATGCTTTCTTGATGAAATGGAAATGACATGGGATCTTCTTCTTGGATCTAGGACTAGCACTTCGGCTGTTTGACCGTCCGTTTCCTTTCCCTTGACCTTTCCCTTTTCCTTTTGCATGCTGTTTTGGTTGAGGTGATGGTAGAACTGGAGCTGCATCAGCCTTGGCCTTCGCCTTAGGTGCTGCCTTCTCCTTGGGAGTGGCTTTAGCCTTCGCCTTCGGATTGGCATCTGGTGCAGCAGCAGTTGGGTTTGGTGCAGGAGTAGTGGGTTTGCCACCACCTGCAAACTCTCTTGCGTACTTCTCTCTGGCGGCCACATGCTTGTCTTCTCTGATCCTGGATATGTGCCTCTCGATGACGTCCAGCAGGTAACGATAGCTTCGTCTTTGATCACCTTCGATCCATGACTCATACTGCTTGATGTCGAACATCATGAGACTCGAATTTCGAATCTTCTTGTATAGAGCGTCACGAAGCCAATCATCAGGAGGTACATCATCCGGCATCATATTTGACACCATCTCCATCCACTTCTCGTAGAACACTTCCAGGTTGGAGTCACCGAGATACTTCATCGATACGATGTGCTCCATGGTGAAGGCTGTCTCTCGTTGACCTGGTGTCCTGAAGTGTTCCAGAATCATAGCCAAAATCTCTCGTCTCATAACATAGGTTCCTCTTCGACTATGACTCTGTGTTCTCAATCTTAGTTTAATTGCTACATGACGAGCAACATCACCGGCTTGGGCTATCACGTTCGACAATGCGATTGACAACTTGGCGTCGATTGACTGATATCGTTGCCCACCACTGTCATTCAGTAGCTCGATGTCAGGATTTGGTCGAATAGCCGGCTATAGCCATGCTTCCCATGCAGCTTTGTCTCCATCATTCGCGGCAAGAACAACACCCTTGATGAGATCTGACTGCCAAACCCCAAGGTTCTGTTGCTTCGGCCATGGGCTAACATAGACTTTGTCAGCCTCCCGTCTCGACATTCTCGGTACTTCTTCTGCCGTGTACGCCGCAGTGGAGATATCATCTGCTGAATCGCGTTGTGATCCCCGTACAGAAGGTAAGCCAGGAGGTTCTGGAGGTGGTCCTGGACCATCAGGTCCAAAAGGGTCAGGAGGCCCATCAGGGTCAGGTGGGCCACCCCTTCCGCCCGGAGGCTTGTAGTAGTCCTTCTCGGTTCCATCGGCGATCTTGTTGTCAACTTCTTTCAGCAGGTCGGCGATCTTTTTGTTCGATTGAGATGGTTGATTTTGAGATGGTCCAGCATGCCCGTAATAGGAGAGAGCAGCATTAGTCTCGTAGGTCAACTCCTTGTCGATCTGCGATACCCATGATTTCAGGACAGAGTTCTCGGAGTTAGCCTCACTCACCTCATTCTCCAGTCTATCAATGACCAGTCTTGATGCTAGATCATCGTTGGGGATACCTGCCGAATAGGGAAGCGTATCAGGGTTGACCCTGGACATAGATGTTTCAGAATCCTTGAGACTCTTTCTCAGTTCGTCTATACGACGTTTCATGTCAATAATCTCAGAATTCTTGATACCAATCTTTTCATCCCTATCCTGAATTTCCCCCATGAACATGCATGATCTCTCATATTGCTGAACACCACTAGCCAATTTCATTTTGCGCTCACTTTCTAGTTCAGATCTTAAAGCTCGGACTTCAGCATTGGAGAGGGACGACGCCCCTACATCCGCAACCTCAGTCAATCTTTCTTTTAACAACATGTTTTCCTGTAAACATTCATGAACTTCATGGTCTAGATCCTGAACCCTGATTTGAGCGATTTTGGCTTGGTTCCGTAGATCTTCAACAAGCATCTCATCAGGGCCACGACCGTCGATCGTAGTGCCCTGAGTTAATGATCTTCGCAACTTCACGTTCTGCAATCTGATCTCATCCTTCAATTCACAGTTCATCTCCTGCTCGTTGGCGTAGAGCTCTTCATAGTGCTCTGCCCTCGCGATCGCATTTGCACTAGCCTGTGATTCAAGCCTCAGGTGTGATATTGCTTCGGCCTCGTGGTTCCTGTATGATGCAATTCTTCTGACAGTATCATGTTCAGTGTTTCGGTGTTTCAGATCGCTTTCCAATTTGGCTTGGTTTGCCTCGAAAACCTTCTTTCTGGATTCTCTAGTGATCTCTTCAATACTGTTTTCATACAACTCGGCCTGTTTACGAGACTGAACTAGAGCTTCACTCAATAGCTGATTCCGTTCAGACAATTCATGAACTGCAATTGATTGTTGTTGGCTAATCATTTCAAGTTGATTGCTTGAGAAGGATGCCATTTCGGATCGATTACGATATTCCATGATTGAGTTCTGGAAATCCGTCTGCATTTCTTGACCTTCAGTGTACAATCGGTTGGCAATATCGGTAGTTAAGACATTGGTCTGATGAAGTTGTTGCAGTCTTGCCTCCGTATTACCCAATAGTCCTTGAAGGTGATGTACTTCATCCTTGTACTCTTCCTGGATCTCCATACCGCGTTGATGGATCCGTCTTGCACCGTGTTCCATCAGGGCACCTCGGCGTTCAAGGTCTTGGATGCGTATTGTTGCACCTTCGTCTTCCTGAGATGCTACCATTAGTTCTGCTTGATACTCTGAATCTGATCTCGATGTCATGAATCAGTTGATCTCTTGATGCAGCATATGCTTCCATATTGTTCAACTGAGTACGTAATGATTGACATTGTGCCCGTAGTTCTTCTATCATGGCAATAGGTTCACTAGCCACAGAAGTATCTGTTGATCTCCTCTTAACGCGAGTGTCCCCGGTCCTCTCACCAATTCGGTCGGTTCCGGCCCTGGTGGATCTGTCCCTTGGGGTAGTTCGTCCTCGAGATGGTCGATGCCCTTGGCGGACAACATCACTTCGAGCACTGTTTCGAGAAGATCTTGGTGTACTTTGGGTGGACATTCTTCGTCTGTTTGATGTAACTTGCCATCCGGACTGTGTAGTTCGGGTAGAGCGTATCCCACCACTGTCTGCTGTGTCGCCAGGGGAAGATTGAGTGACCTCCTCGACCGGCATAGCAGCGTTCTCGTTGAAGGTAAACTGCGTGTTGCGCGAGTCCCCGCTGCCGCCCTGCATCTTTGCGATGATGAGCTGATTGGTCCTTTGCGTCCACAATCTTAAGCTCTGACGGCCCGGCTACCAGCACGCAGGTACTCCTCTTCCGACGGAAGATGTGAGCCCTTACGGCTGATAACCTGTGAGCAATTTTAATCCTTGTTCCGGATATCTGGTGGTAGATGTTGGAGTCCCTAACGAGTTAGTAGCCGGAATCCCGGCAGCATTGCTGGGCAGCGCGAACACCGTTTTCCCTTGCGACTTGAGCCAGATATTTGGCGTCATGTCAGGCCTACTCCACATGCTTATACATGTGTGCAGTACCGTTTAGTTCCCTTTAGCAGTATATATGTATATATGTATATATGTGTATATGTGTATATATATATATATATTTATATATATATATATACATATATATATATACATATTGTATATACATATATATATAATATTATATATATATATGTATTATATATTTATGTATCACATATATTATAGAAATATATGTAAGTATATACCGGCCGTACATACCTCAATCTTCTACCACAAATAGCCTCATATACTTCCGAAACAGTGGCCCTATACGAAGGTTTTCCGGCAGCCAAGTACCAGCTGAGAGCCATCCACAGGTTTCGGCTGAGGAACTGCTGACGGCTGAAGCTTGAGGCATCTTGCGACCGCCACCAAACCTTGGTAGATGGGGATGGCCATGTCCAAAACAACATTCAGTGGAACTGGAGTGAACATGACGGACACGTCAATCTGGAGTGTAAGAAAGCACAAAGATGCACAAAGTATGTTTCAAGGAAGAAAGGTATGGCACTAGAAGATAACTTTATTGAACCACTCTGCCAACAGTTGAGGTTGAAGTATTTCAACACCTTGGTCGTTATTTGTGCACCACACTCAACTTGACACTCGGCTCTGGCGAGACAATGAATGCGGGCAGGTAGCAGAGCTACTGGCATTTTTACCGCGATTCTCCTCCAAGGTGTCTCGGAAGGTGCTAATGAAATGATCTTTACCTTGAAACGGCTTGACAAAGTGGCTCTTGCAAGGTAAAGCTGGGATGTCTGCAACTTCGCTGCCAGAGTCTCTTGGCACAATGGTACAAACAAACGGCAAACGGTTTCAAGTTTCAAGCTCTGCTTATCTTTGGAAACATCCAGTGCACATTGAAACCACGCGAGGACACCAGCATTCAAATTGAAGAAACTGCCAGCCCTTGTCCCACATGGTCCCATGTCCCACTATCCCTCTCTTTCGAAGCCGAGTCTCTGTACCAGGAGATGAAGTGGTCTGCCACAGTCTCCACCAAACCTGAGCAACATGATGGAGGTATGTCACTGCCCAGCACCGCATCCTGCTTCTCAGTTGTGTCAACTTGTGCGCTTTCTTGCTAGAGTCAGTGCCAATATCTTGGAGCAATTACGTTTAGGTGTCTAGAACTGTGGCGGTCATCCCATCGCATGTTGCTAAGAATTCAAGCTACATGTCTTGTACAGTCCCTTCAAAACAAACAAGCACGCAAACACATGTTGCTACGGGTGCTTTAAAGTAAAACTGCCTTATGGATCAAAACCCATGGTAACCATGGTACTTTGTGAGCATCAAAATCGTTGGGAAACGGATGTGCATCCCAAAAAAAATGGCCGCGCGCATATGGACTCATTCCAAGGCACTCAGCAGCGTTGGGACTGTTCCCTTGCCGCGGGCCAGCTCCCACTGCAGCGTATGCAGGGTGCTGTTGGCGACTTCCTCCGGCGCAGCGATATCCTTGGGAGTTCACCAACAATTTGACATCCCAAAGATGTGGATTTCAGCATCAAATCCGGGGATGTCAATGCCCAGCTTCGCCAGGGAGACTGCTGAGCCAAGGGGTCGCCAAGCGGACATCGATCTCCATGTCCTCAATGTCTAGCTCTGTGTAGTACTTCTCCGCGAGCACCTCGTTGGTTTAGAACGGGATTCCCGCTGATTACGAGAATCCCCAATATGAAAGGTAGTATGATTCCCAAATGAATCATCATCCAATAGGGGGTTGTTGAAGGTTGTTCTTACATGTTCTGAAATGTGGGATGACTTGTCGACTTGATCTTGAAAATCGTAACAGCGATTGAACCATTGTCCTGCCAAGAAAATACTTTGATCTGATCTACTTAGCATGTGGCTTGGACGATACTCTGCTGTGGTCGAAATAAAGAAAACTGAGCGTCGCATCAAGGACACATCATTTATCTAACCATGGTCACTGCGGTACACTGACCATGTCATGTCTCAGTACCGTCCCGGGGGTCAACTACAGCACAGCTTTCAAGAAGTCCTGTTGGTTGAGTAACCGCCCTGAACATCCCTGAACAATATATGTGCTTTCAGGAGGATCATCCGAGCCATGGAAAGTATGAATCCATGGACGAATAGACAGGATACTTGAAGTGGACAGGACTGCAAGATTATTTTGGCCACGCCATTGACTTCACTTCTATTTTGGATATTTAGTGAGAGAGTCTGAGTCAGTGGAAATTTCATGTTGCAATGGCAAAACATGACCCACAATTCAAAACTCATAAAAGTACCTGCAAAAGCCCATGCCTTCACCCAGCAAGCCCTGCACAATTTGATCAATTGGCATACAGTGCATATATATATATATCATATCTATAACCTATAATATATATATATATATATTATTGCTATATAAATGTTTCTTGTTATTACTACACTATTATCATTAATCCCTTCCTCCTATTACTAAACCCCGCCCACATACTAAAAACTAGTGTCCATCTCCAATTTTGGAAAATTTCAGATTGGCCAATTTGACTTTTAATTGATCCCCTTTACAAAACAATTTAAAAATAAAGCTACCATTTGTGGGTTTTCCCCCCTAATACTAAAAACATCTAAAAACTAGTTCACCCCGGGGTGTTTATTATTAGGGTCCGTCCGATTTTTTTTAGTTTTTTATATTAAGGTTTGGAATATAGTATTGGGGGGAAGCTTCGAAATCCAATTTTTGGCAATATTTTAATTGCGTCATATAAAGAAATTATAAGAAATTTAATTGATTTTGAGATCGGAAAAACATGTTTTTATAATTAAGGATTTTAATTTAATATTAAGGGGAAGCTTCGAAATCCAATTTTTGGCAATACTTTAATTGCGCTATATAAAGAAACTTGATTGATTTTGAGATCGGAAAAACTAGTTTTTATTATTAAGGGTTTTAATTTAATATTAGGGGGAAGCTTCGAAATCCAATTTTTGGCAATACTTTAATTGCGCTATATAAAGAAATTTAATTGATTTTGAGATCGGAAAAACTAGTTTTTATTATTAAGGGTTTTAATTTAATATTATTTAATATTAAGGGGAAGCTTCGAAATCCAATTCTTGGCAATACTTTAATTTCGCTATATAAAGACATTTAATTGATTTTGAGATCGGAAAATACTTTACTTCGTGTGATCCCCACCATGACATTTATACATTTTGTTACTGGCAAATCTTCTGGCATTCTATCTGACATATTTTCTGGCATTCGATCTGGCATTCTATCTGGCATATCTTCTGGCATTCTACCTGGCATATCTTCTGGCAGATGTTCTGGCATATCTTCTGGCAGATCTTCTGGCATATCTTCTGGCATATCTTCTGGCATATGTTCTGGCATATCTTCTGGCATTCCATCTGGCATTCTATCTGGCATATCTTCTGGCATATTATCTGGCAAATCTTCTGGCATTCCATCTGGCATTCTATCTAGCATATCTTCTGGCATATTATCTGGCAAATCTGCTGGCATTCTATCTGGCAAACATTCTGGCACTTTATCTGGCATATCTTCTGGCATTCTATCTGACATTCTATCTGGCATTCTATCTGGCATACCTTCTGGCATTCTATCTGGCATATCTTCTAACATTCTATCTGGCATATCTTCTGGCACTCTATGTGGCATATCTTTTGGCGTGGATACTCGCGGTTGAGGTCTGGCAGGGAACACTGGGCGTGGATGGTCGTGGTTGAGGTCCGGCAGGGAACACTGGGTGTGGATGGTCGTGGTTGAGGTCCGGCAGGGAACACTGGGCGTGGATGGTCGTGGTTGAGGTCCGGCAGGGAACACTGGGCGGGATGGTCGTGGTTGAGGTCCGGCAGGGAACACTGGGCGTGGATGGTCGTGGTTGAGGTCCGGCAGGGAACACTGGGCGTGGATGGTCGTGGTTGAGGTCCGACAGAGAACACTGTGGATCGCGAGTCGCAGTTGAGCAGGAGGACGAGGAGGACAACGAGAGGAGGAGGAGGAGGAGAAGGAGGAGGACGAGGAGGACCAGGCAACTGACATAAAATCTAACAACCCTCACCTGGCAGGTGGGGAAAAATAGTTTTTATTATTAAGGGTTTAATTTTATTATATAATATTATATAATAGGGTTAGGGTTCCCTAATAATAAATAACCCTCTAATACTAAAAACTACCTGCCGTGTTTATTATTAGGGGGGACGTTTAGTATTAGGAGGAAGGGATTATTGATTATTGTTATGTTATTCATATGTGAAGCCTGAAATCTACATAGAATCTACACTACACTCTACACCCTTCTAATACATTTAATGGGACATACTTTGGAACCACAACAGCTTCCGCGATCGCTTCCGCTCCTGCGTGAAGATCCGCAAGGACCAAAAGGGCTCCAGAAACGGCGGATCCGCAAAGCCAAACGAGGCCAAGAGCTCGGGATTGGATCTGCGACCATAACCTCTGCTGGCACTTTGAACTGGGATCATGATCCCTAAGGCCCGAAACTAGTGCATGATTTGACATTCTGAGAGTTCAATACTTCCACAATACTTGGCAGAGTTATCATTCTTGTCATTCTTGTCTATCTTGTCTATGTTTAAATTGTTTTTCTTGAGAAACTATTGTCTTTGATACCACGGACTGGAAGAAATATCTAAGCCACTAAGCCACATCAACTTCCTCTGTGGCAATATGGATGGACCATGATGGATCGACGCCGTGACGCCCAAGGAGCTGATAGTGATTTCCTCATCTGCTGGGATTTCCCATTTGGCCGAAACCACCAAATCTCCGTTGTCGTCCATCTCGTAGTTCCTTAGCGATCGAAAGATTCCAAAAAACTGTCCTGCTTCATCTGACTAATTGTGGCCTGGAGAAAGGCACACTTCAATGGATTGGTGTAAAAAGTACTGATTTTGAATTCAGATATAGGGACTCTAGGGGTTTCCTGTAGTCTTCATCCAATTCTTGGAACAGTTGATGGAACGGAGTGATTGGAGTGCCCCGAATTGTGGCCAAATTGAAAGTCTATTGCAAATGATCAAGTGACACCTCCAGCCATGTCTGCTTGTAAAAAGAACTAAGCTGCCAGCTAAAGACAGCTACAGTACCACACAATGATTCCATGATGTATATAATTTCAATCAAATCCACAGCTATCGCCGTCTTCATTTGCCAAGATTCAAATCTGAAGTTAACTCTGGCAAGTGATTCAGAAATTCCTCGGCTGTGGTCAAACAGCACCCAATCTCAGCTTCCCAAGCATATGCCAGCTTACGTATGACTCTCAAAACTGCTACTGTATCTGTGAGGGTCGATTTCTTTAGCAAGCCTCTCATTCACAAGGCTAAGATTCAACTGCCTCCCCAAGATTGCCAAAGTTGTAAAATGTTGGACCATAGCAAGAAGCAAAGGTGTGAAAGAAACTATCACGGAATGGCAGAGTGCAAGAATGATAGGAACAACCAGAAAAGAGTGCTGGACTTCCTACGTGTCTCCTCGTACACGTACAATAGGAACACATTTGATCTCCAAATACGAGTAGAAGAAACCGCGCAAAGGGCATCAAAGAAACTCTACTGTATTTCTTGGGGTTCAAACACTTTGTGTTCAAACATTTATCAACCTGAATTGCCCTACTCTATCTAGCACCTCTAGCAAAAATTTTGATAGCAAACTTGGAGTGACCGAAGGGATCAGTGAAATTGGTCATAGCCTCTTCGGCACGTTGACGTACCTGAGGGATCCTGAGGGAACTGAAACCGATTGGAAACAAACACCCAAATACTCATTGCTTTGCAGATTGATCATATATAATTATGTTTATATATATATATACATATACATATATATATACATATATATATATACATATATATATACATATATATATATACATATATATATACTACATATATATATATACATATATATATATATATACATATAACCCCCAATAAATATAATTATCAATATTGGGATATATTGGGTATGTTTGTGTATTACAACCCAGCAGAATCATGAACGCGTGTTGACGACATGTGACGACCACTCCAAGCAGCGAAGATTGGAATGATATGTGGCTTTCCTCCTGGACCTTTGGCTGCATGCGAGAGAATGAACTGGTTCACTGCCTGGCGTAAGCGAATTTGCCTTAGCGGTTTCCCTTAAGGCACCTTAAAGCATTGCAAACGGGGAATTCCGACATCTATATATAGATGTTTTTTTGGTGCTGAAGCGGTTCTTGGTGATTTTTTGCTGCACGAAAAAGTTCAAATACTTTGCAAAGGCATCGGATTCACATAAAGGTGTGCAAGCAAGCTAGACTTTGAATCCGACCATCAGGGACCATCCAAATAACCCAACCAGACCCTGACAAATATTTTAGTCATTTGCGAGTAGCGACCAAACCGATATTCCCCCGACCAGCGGACAAAAACGACATGGCCCAGACCTGGTAGGTGTTCATGTCCATCCTAGCCACAGATTTGGGATGATGGGATGACCCATCTTGCAAGAAATGAGCCCTGTCCTAAAAATGAATTGTAAAGCAGTACGTTGCAAACTTGAAACATGGCAAACTGGCAAACCATGAATAGAATACGTTGTCCAGAAACTAAATCATTCTACAGTAAAACTAATTCTCAACTTCTGACCTTCTGAACCATGTCATGTAGTATAGATTCTTGGCATCCCCGGGAACATCTGGCATCATATCATACCATATCTATGGATCATGCGTACTCTGTTTCCTGCTTGCACATATATAATTACCATTAATTACGAGCCTCCATGATCTCCATGGATCCTTTCGGCCAGGTATCATCTGCAGTTCTTTGCTGCATTTTGTCTTGCAGGATGCCGTGAGCTTTTCAAAGTCGCGTGTGTACCTTCACAACCAGACTGCAGATAAGTGAATGCGTCTAGATCGGAGATGAACAGAAGGCGCGTGACCTATACATGAAATGTTCGACTGCGATCACCATACTGTACACGCTTCAAAAAACCTTTTCGAAGGCCTCTATCACTTAGAAGAAATCTGATTCCAGCACTGAGGAATGGGTTCACCATGCTCCACCATACACATGCTCATCCAAGCGCTACTTTCGTACACCATCTGACTCGATCACCAGAGACGAAAAAGGGCAGAGTCACCAATAGAATCCAATAGACAGTACTGAGTCTCAGACCAGAAAAGGCTACGTCTGATCTCTTGAAACTCAAAGGAACCGACCAGCAGCAACTGCTCCCGCGTCTCTCGGTAAAACGGCATGGAAAAGGGAGGTGAGAACATGTCCCACCATGGCTGCCATATTCCCACAGATGCAGGGCTTTGCAAAAAGCTACCTTGGACAGTCACAGTGGACCCCATAGCAATCTGTAGCAACTGTAGCATCCCTCTTTGCCAGTGACTGAGAAAACGCAGCACTGACAAGGATTGCTTGTGCTAAACAGTCTCAGGATGTCTCAGGTATTGATCCTTGCAACATGGGATGTTTTTGCTTGCCTTCTATACGGGTAATTAAGAAATAGCAACAAGAAAGCAACACATAAATGGAAGTAAACTTGCCCTTTAGGGTTGCTGCTTGAGTCACCATATTGGCTCGAAAGCCATGCTGCCATTGCTGCCACTCCACTTCGACCGAGGCTCAAGTCATCAATTCCGTCCTTGCCAAGGACCATTGTCTGATGCATTGACTTCACGACAGCATCGACAGCTCCCCAGTTTGATTGGTTGCTTTGGTTGCTTTGGTTGCTGTGGTTGCTTTATCCCAAGATATAGATGCATCAGATGCAAGAAATTCCTGCCGTTGTTCCATCTTTTTGTTTCTCGTACATCCTGACGCAAGAAACGCATCTCTCAGTGCTGCCACGGTGCAACATGTGAGGGAAGGTCGCTTCTTTGGCGAATGGAGGCCTGAGAGTTGCGACGAAAACTGCCGCTTGAGGGTGCAGTTCCACTTATATGTGGCTACGTACCCATATAGGGGTTATATCCCAACTTATGATAACTTATGGAGGTTATCACTAGTTATCACCATGATTCCAGTAGTACAGTAATCCAACTGCACCCTTAAGTCCTCTCTACTGCCATCACATTGTACTCATCACACTACAGCACCTTCATGGACTGATCTGGATCGAGGAAAAAATGTCTTGTGTAGCCGGGTCACATGTGTCTTGGTCAATGAGAGGAAAGAATGGAAAGAACGTATCCAAGCTAAGACAAGTTAAGTCCATGGTATTGACACGAATTGATATTATGTTGTGTGATGTTTAGTGGACACCTTGCCCCGTCTAATCCTTGCAGCTTCACACTCTCATCCGAGTCGCATCACTGATTTGAAGATCCCGTGGAATCTGCAATATCTTTTCTCCAGATTTGATGTTCTGAGCCGCTACGAGCATGGCCCCTTTGACTGTCTCATCGACATATCTGAGCTTGGCAGATACCTTCGTTGCGGGAAAGGCATGGAAAGCCTCGGGAGGGGTAAGTAATTCATAGATATTCAGATATTCATAGCAATTCACTAAAGGTAAGAAGGGATGCTAGGCTTGGCACTTGCATTGTTATTTTACTTGGCTCGGCCATGTCCGATCAAGATAATTTCATCGTTTATCATAGATACTACTGTACATGGAGGAGTCTCAATCATTTGGTCTAGCATTGCTTTACCATGTTTTACCTTCGTCACTTTTGATCTCTTACGTCCTACCAACCAGGCATTCAGTTTCTAGCAATCTTTTTCACATCTCAATCGGCCCGCGCTCCATTTGAGATCCGCCAAACCAGCCAAGATGAAGAGTGTTTCAATTATTTCTATCATGGATTAAGTTGTCAAGTAGACACCTTTACATCTTCGTGCATACTTTTCTCAACACAAGCCAGGAAGTTGCAAAAATCAGAAAAAGGAAGTGAAAGGATGTGAAAGCGACAAAATGTGACAAAAGGTGCAGCTTCGACACAAATCCGCCATGGCTACTCACCCAATTTGCCAGGTTCTGGTATTTCATGGCCGCATCTGGCCCACCAAGGCGTGTGGCCAATGAAAGCAAGACACCAAGCAAGGAAAAGGTACCTGACATGCGAGCGGAAGATGAGCCGAGGAAACCATGTGGAGCCCTGGACCTGTAGCGCATGAAGAAAGCAACATGGGGACAGGATTAAGATAGACCGAAATAATCAAATACTGACAAGGCGTATCTACAAATGAAACAGCAAACATTCTAGATCATTCTAGTCATCCTATTTATACAGATATGATTGATATGATCACATATGTAATCATATCATACGTATAGTTTACGCTCGATCCATGATTCAATTTGTTTCAAGTCCAAGCAGTCTGATGATTCATACTGATTCATCCACATCCATCTGTGCAAATGCACCAAGGACCAACGTCTCGTAAACCTTCCGTAGCCATGTCAAGGTGCCATAGAGCCAGATGGAAGATGTCCAGCTAGAACTTTGGCTTGACGTCTCGGGCGGCACCTACTCAGCTGCGATTTTGAGGAACGTTTGATGGTAAACCAACTAGTAAAACCACAGGATTTGGGGGCTACCCCATTTTGTTGTTGGAGTCCAAAAGTCCAAATGATTAGATGTGCGCACACATAGTACTGCGCTTTCAATCATAGAGTTGCCTGGGTAAGAGGAGCACTTGACACTTGATCCTCAGGTGTGATGTTGCCCTTGGCGTAGTGTCGTGTAACATGACACTTTAAGCCATCCTTTCTCCACTTTGCCCGCATCTTGAAATCGACAAACAAACCTGGCACTGAAATATCAACACCAAGGTCATGTTTGCACAACTCTTATGGAAAGAATGCCTTGGTTGGTTATAGGTTTTATATATTTTTTATATGGTTTCATAGTGATTCCCTCATGAGCTTGTTACCTTTCAATACATTTCATGCTATCCGTAGTACTCTGCCCGCTGATCCACCTTCTCTGCCTCACGCGATCGGCTTGGCTTCGATTTTCCCATGGTTTTCGATGGCCAGAAACTGGACTGGTTGTGATGGTCATGACCCCATTCAGATCATTCAGATGGGTCCCTTATGATCCCCTATCGTCCCCCATATTCCCATATACCGTATGCCTTTGGACTAATGCTGTGAATTTTGTCCATGGAAGTTGTGATGGTCATGACCCCATTCAGATCATTCAGATGGGTCCCTTATGATCCCCTATCGTCCCCCATATTCCCATATACCGTATGCCTTTGGACTAATGCTGTGAATTTTGTCCATGGAAGTAGCGATATCTGGTGAAGAGCTGTGAACCCCCCACCTCATACCTGATATGAGTCAAACATAGGTGGCACCTATGGACCCACACTGATGTGTTTTAGCATGTTGCTTGCCTTCCAACTGGGCAAAATCATTTTCTGCCGGCACGAATAGCAAAGGGTAAAATCAACCAAATGGATGACAGTCTGAGCTGCCAATGGCGCAGTTGGTGCTACGCCTGCGCTTCAAAATCTCGGCCAAAGGCCCAATCAGCTGCGATTTGTGGCAAAGGAAGCATGTCAAAAAGGCTGTCTCAACGCCTTCTGACCTTACGACAACATGATTGAACATTGTTGAAAGAAATTGAAAGTCAAACATGCCATGCACTTCGTGGGTCATTCAATCAATGAACGACAATGTCAATGTTAATAGCCTGATGAGGCAGCCCCGCTCCTCTGGCTTTCTAGATCTCTCCCAATAGCATCCAGCGCGGGTCTTGACAAAGTTTGCCAAGCGCTGTGCAAACTGCTGACCTGAAACGCTTAGCAAAGAAGAGCACATTCCTTCATAGTGTCATAGTGACATTCCAAATCAATCCAGATCTGTTTATCTTTGTTATGACTTACTTGTGCTTAGCAGGGAATGAGGGAATGATCCACAATAACTATCAATAATCATCCCATTCCCCCATTCCCATCCATTCCCTGCTAAGCACCAGTAAGATGAAAACCCGTTCCCCAGATGTTCAAATCACCCGCAGTGGAACGCAATGGATCATGAATTTGGGCACTTTGGGCACCTTGTTTTGAAAGGCTTGAGGTACGATCGCTGCCATCTGAGCCTGGCTGGTCATCCCAACTTCAAGAGGGAGATTTCTTTCATATAATGGGTATACACACATATTATATATATATATATGTACATGTATATATATATATATATATGATGTACATTTATATACATAATGTTGACCTACGATTTATCAATGGACCCTGAATAAAGCTAACCAAACTCCCAAAACAAATAATAAATGACCCCTAAATGAAGCTAAACTTTTTTGGCCCTAAACCCAGATCAATACTAAATCCGTGACATGAATACTAAATCAATACTAAATCCATGACATGAATACTAAATCAATACTAAATAGATCTTTTTAAAACAATTGTTGGATTCCTTTTTTTTGGGAAATTGCAATTTTATATATTCGTTTTAAATTGTGGCAATTGAACACCTTTACATACAAACAAGTTTGATGGTGGCCTTTAACTTTATTTAGGGAAAAGAGGGGGGGGGCCACGTTTATAAATCAGAGGTAAGCATTATATAACAATCTATATAAATTGTAATATAATAATATATTATATACAGTATATATTAGCCCATAGGAATGGGGGGATGACCATCCCTCTACAGGAAAATCAGCAATGTTTTGATGGCACATGTCTGCCTTGGTGGCACAAGAACGATTGCAGTAATCTGCTAGACAGTGTTGGTCCAGGGCTCCTAGGTACTTGTCAAACTTAGATATTTCATCGGTGGACAAATAAATTGTCAAAAAGGATTGATCCTGTCTTCAAACTGTGATGACCGATGGACAAAGCATGAATATCAATAAATCCCTAGGACACGCTCGTATGAAGACAGGGGAGGTCCTCGATTTGTGTCAGTCCTGCTGAGACAACAATGTTGCAACGTGGCAATCAAGTACAGTAGTTGATCCAAAAACTGGAGAGACCGCAAGGGATCCAAAATAGCATCATGATGACGACGATGATGACGAGGATGATGATGACGACGACGCGGAATCAGCCGGATTCACAACTTTCACAACTCCAAGACCCACTGCCTTTGCTTTCTGGCGCTCCAGCACCTGCCCGAGTCAACCAAATGGGCCGCGAGCCTTGGGTCTTGGAGCAATCTGAAACCACCACAAGCAACAACCAACAATTCAAAGCATTACCCTAGGGTAAACTAACATGGTGGGTTTTGCACATCTATGTTTGTTTTCTTGAGTGTAAACTTGTAAACATTGCTGTTTCCATCGCAGGCGAATGTTGACATAGAGGGGAAACCTCCCCCCAGTTTACACAGGCTGGCAATGCAAAAATACAGATATGTCTTCCTTGATACTCCCTCTCTTTCTCTCAAATCAATTCCAAGTATTTCACAGTATATACCTGTTGAGTGCAAAGCCGATGTGGATGGCCATGAGGTATGGCAGAATGCCTCACATGCTCAAAACAGCAATCAAAAACCTGGCGCTACGCCGCTACAAAAAAAGCATCACTGCATAAACTTCAGGCCGGAATGGTGTGATCGAAAGAAAGTCCTTGCACTAGGTAGAGGATATTTGGCTGTTACTCTATATATATATTTATATCTATATATGTATATGTACGTATATATGTATATAATATATATATATTCATAATATATATATATATATATTCTGTATCAAACAGTATAGAAGAACTTCTGCTGTTCAAAACCGTAGCGCAGTCCAGGTGCTTTTTGCCACTCGTCCATAGCAATGGTTCGCCATGACCTTGATTGTTTGGGCACGTTGAGCGTATGTGATTGCCGTGAACACGAAAAAAAATCATGTGTGGCTATGGATCAAAATTGGATACCCAAATTTATGAAATGCTTATGTAACCTATGTAGTCTTGAAAGTTCCAGGCCTTGGTCCACTGCGTCTTAAAGTTTGAAGCATATCATCCCACATCACCTCCATCCGAAGCAGTGGCAACCAGCCGCCCATTTTCTGTGCCCAACTTCCTTCAGCCGCCGTGGTGGCTGGCTGGAGGAATAGCAGAAGATCTTCGGAAAATCTGTGAAAATTCCATGAGGGCTGCAACCATTCAGCGGCAAAACAGCCACGCGAACACTTTGCAAGGCTCCAAAAGGGTGCATGCGATGCATATCTCGCAGCTGAACAGTTTGAATACATAGTTGAACGAAGTGCCGAGCATGCCAGAACTGTACAACAAGCTGTTAAATCTACAGCCAATCTCTGTGTTTTGTTTTTTGCCGTGGGAATCACAAACACTTGAAGCCATGCCCAACAACACATGATACTTAAGGAGTCATGTCAGATTCTAAAGACGCGCAACTTCAAGCCATCTTTGGGCTTCAAGTGCAAACCCATCGAGTCTACTTCCATGTTTTCGACATCGACGAGCTCAAAGCGAAAGCGGGAGAGCAGCATGGGGAGCCAAACCTGCGAGGGTGAAATGAATGAGAAAGCGGGCCTCTGCGTTCTTCAAGTAGGCAAATCACCAAATCCCAATGGTTGTGTCATTCTCCAACCTATATACCCCTGCACGGACAATTGCAGCGACGCTACAAGTAGAATGTTACAGTGTTCCTAATGCAGAAAAACATATTATAGCAACATAATCCCCGTCTTTGATTGCTCCACATTCATGACTTTCTTGCCCAACAAATCGAGTGGCATTTCTGGAATTGTCAAAATGTTGAGAGGGAAGTGCAGGCGCTGCATGAAGTTGCATGTTTTTGTGGACCCCAGCAGTTTTTGCGAGAAGAGCTCACAGATTCATAGATTCTGCTGCAACAGATAGAAGGACTCATTGATCTGTTGTTAAAAGATGTTCAAAGAACACAACCTCCTACCAGCTAAAGTGGAAGAAATTAATGACTTAGTGTCATGCTTCGGATAGCTTTCTGGTATCTCAAGCATCCTAAGACTCTTTGGAATTCCCCCCGTTGAACAGAGAACTGCAACGACTGTGAGCATCTCTCAGATACAAGAAACCCTGGCTTCCAAAGAGGACATGTCTCTTCCAGGACAGCTATGAGCACCGAAGTTGTAGGTCATCAACTTTGAGGACTTCAGTCCTGGTGGAGATCACCAGATTTTTGTTCACACATGATGCGAAAAAGGAAGAATGAATATGATATTGCATTCCAGGCAACGCTTTTGTATAAGATATGAATACAAATGATATACGTAGTTGATCGTTGCTGTACCCTCTGGTAATTTAACATAGCTATTGAAAATGGCCAGTTATAGTGGATTTTCCCATTAAAAATGGTGATTTTCCATTGCTATGTTTGTTTATCGTTGCTGTACGTATCCTAGATTGTATTTCTTTCACTGCAGCGGTTCCAAACAGTCCCAGACCAGGTTCTGCCAAACAAGTTCCTATCCATTGTGCCTGCTGGTCTGCAACGTTTTCTTGGTTTCCTTCAACCAATAGTCTCTAGGTTCAATATATCACCAACCAAATACTGTATATGGATCCAAATGGCGTTGTCTCAAAATGGTGTATAGTCCTGTATAGCCATTTCAATGGGCAACTGTCATTATTAACATCTATATACATCTATTTTGGGCATCAACATTTGGGGGGAGAACTATGTTCAAACAAAGGTTGGTCTTAAGCATCAACATTTGGGGGGAGAACTATTTAAACAATCAAACCACAATATATCCAATTCATCCCAAAGGTTGGTGGAGGTTTTTTGCCGTAGCGCCGCACCGCTGTGCCGTGCCTTGCCAGCGTGAAGGATCAAAGTGCAATGGGCAGCGTCCAAAGTCCGAGGATCTCTGTCCAGCCAGGACCTGCGGCTGCGGGCTGGGCCACTCGGGCCACTCAGGGGACCTTAAAAAATGAATGAGTGGGCTCAACAAAAGGGCTCATTCATGGCTCATTAACCATCAACAAACACTAATAACTAATAACTATATATCATCATATATATATACATATATATATAATAGCACTAATAACTAATAACTATATAATAGAATCATAGAAGGGCCTTTTTTGACCATCATTGGGGTTGTATCATTATTTATCATTGATAAAGCCCCAACGATACATGGACCGGCCAGCCCAGGTCGGCCTGGAAGTTCAGGGTGGTGTCCTTGCTGATGAGGTAGTTCCTTTGGCAAAGCAGAGTATGCCACCAGTCATGGCAGCTGCTGCTTCATTTGATCCCAGGATTTTATAGCCTTTCAGACTGAATAATACTGAATACACAGAACTGAACTGGAAACTGCATCTTCATCCGCTCAAGCCATCGCGATTCTTGCTTTGATTGTCGATTCCTGGCCTTTTTTACAAGAGTCATAACGGTCCGTGCCCAATTTGCAATGATATCCAGCTGTATCTTTCTCATGTGTAAAACAAAGTCCCCTCGATTCCCATCCGGTTGAGCTGTGCCGTTTGTGCCTGCCGTCCAGGGCAACCTCAAAGTCATCATATGCGACTCCAGTCAGCGTTGGTGTTGGGGGCAGCAAACGCAATGCCTCAGGATGGTGGGAACCAAAGCGAGCTCTAACGGGAAAGCATCTCAGCTGCAACGAACAGGCATCAAATGGTATTGTTACCTCTACTAAGGGCAGTCTGCAACATGATATTTTATGTCGAGGGTGTAGAATATAAGTTCAAAGAAGATTGCGGACTGAACACTATTATCTTGATGATCTTGAATGCTTATGTACAGCGTACTAGGAAATCGAAATCACCAGGCACTTGCGTCTTAGTCGCGATGCAAATATAATCAAAAAACACCGCGCGAGGTTTTACGCTCCCAACCTCGTTGAAAATGTCTTGCATAGACTCCGTCTTGGACAACAGGCTCTTGCTCTCGAAACCCGACTCCATGATTGAGACCTAGTCAGTCAGAACTTATGGCCATGGCTAACCTTGAAACCTTCCAAAAAAAACAACTGGTTGGAATCTGCTAGAACGTACACTACCCTTATGATTCTTTATGGAAAAACATGGAAGTTTTGAGGAACTCTAGGTTGACGTTGAAGTACAGCTGCAGCAGGTCAGGCTTGGCGTTGAAGCGTTCCTCTGGTTCCTCTGACTACAAGGCACTCAATATGTGGTGTGGTTTACCTAATGATAAACCCTACTCCAATTAACCAAATTTGCATAAATTTGCAATGTTTGCGTAAGTCAAAACCAAAGCAAACATGGTTCATCGTTGGGTTGCCACGTTGCCGGACATAATGTACTTGGGATCAATATCTGATTGTATAATTGATTATTATATTTGATTATCATAGATTTGGTCGACATACTCCGTATGCTCCATATATGGTATAATTGCTACATTTGGGTCATATTTATTGGCCAATGTTGCTAGATATTCCATGAAGTGTTGGATTGTTGATATCACCAATTTCCGGCAACCTACACGACACTGTAAGGTGGGGCACCAGACTATAGTGGTTAACAATTGGGTTTATGGCAGATATATATATATATGTATATATATATAACTAGTTGATGGGTTTCATAAACCCACAAACATAAAATTGGGGGCTCAGATACCATTAGAATCCCAGTAAAATCTCTAAATCCCAGTAAAATCCCTATTTTTGTCATCACCTGTGGATGGTTTCCCCATGTTTCGACCAAGGACCGCTTCGTGCCGGGCGGTCTCCGCCCAGCGCCTATGGCGCGGCTCCGCCAGGAAGCCCACGGTGAAGGAAAGGGAAAATGCCTCGCGGCCGCTGGATGACTGGGGGAAGAATTTTAGGGTCATAATTTCGTTTCTATAACCCATATGCTCCATGTATGGTATATTTACCTACATTTGGGTGATTTTTAGGGCAAATGTTGGTAAATATACCATACATGGAGCATATGGGTAATTGTTTATAGAATAATGTATTAAATGGCTATATATATACATATTTATCTATACGTATGCTTACTTCAGATTACTGCTATGTTCGTTGAATAAAACCTGGCTTACTCGGTGAACTTGGGACTGTTGCTATAGGTTGACAAACCCCTGGTGGCTTTGATATGCTCCATTTGAAACTTAAGTACCTTTTGGGGGTGGACTTTCCCACATTGATTCGCCAAGGGCGGCAAGATTTGAGGGCAAGGGGGCAATGACATTGGATTTGTTAGTGACATGATGTGAAATCTATGACAAGAACCTTCACTGGCAGCACAGGCGGCCACGAAAATTATAAAATCACCGTGGCACCATCATTGTCACAGCTGCAATATTTGCAATGATATTTGCCATCACAATTTCAGACAGTATTGCCATAGCCCCTCACATTCCAGTGCAATGTACAGCTACAGCGCCACACCTGAATTTCGTAGCCTGCATTCACAAAGTTCCGAACCTCCAGGGATTCTGAAATCGCCATCCCAAATGTATGGAAGATTTACCCAGATTTAGTCTAAAATGCGCCACATGTAGGTAAACATATACCATACATGATACATGGGATTTTTCGGTCATATACCATAAATGGGAAGTGGATACAGCATGATACAGCAGGCCTCAGCCAAGAGATTCTCAAGGCCAACCCCTTGCCAGCGTGGCTCCTTTAGTAGCATGGCCTTCCGTGCACAAGCTGCCCCGGAGGCAATGCGGACATCGTATTATTAATTATCGAGTATATAAAAGTGGTACAGCATAATATACTCCATTTCATGTATTGATATATATATATATTTATATATAATTACATAGTTCCACATTGATGAAACAATAATTCACCAATAAGAATTAGTTTATGTCCATGATTGTCCATGATTTTTGCATGTCACTGCTAAGATTTAAATTTTGGCTGCAAGAGTTGCCTCCAAAAGAGCTGGCGCACGATCTGGGGCTCGTTGACCCGAACGAACCTGCGATTCAGAGCCACCTATGCTACCTTCAGGGAACACACCGCAGACTGAATACGTACATATCATATGATCTCATTATATATCTGAGAATCTGATGACTATAGTCTATAGTGATTATATCAATCTACCATTCCCCAACCAACATAGACCCTGCCTAATAGGGGGCTGGAAGACTACTTTTCATCAACAATTGGCGATTCTCAGGCTCAAACTGTTAGTTGGGGAGGTAAATCCTCAAATCATAGTTATGTGGTTATATAGTGTTATAGTATGTTATAATTTTATATCCATATCCCATTAAATATCCCGTTATATACATCCCACAGTATCTCATCATTTCATATCATTTCCCAATAATCATAGTTCTCGTAAATATTCCCATAGTATCCCCAAAATATCCCCATAATATCATACAATATCCTCACAATATCCCGATCATATCCTCCTGATATCCCACAGTTTTTTTCAACGAAAGCCACCCCACTCCGTCACTCCGTCACTCCGTCACTCCGTCACTCCGTCCTCCTCCAGAAGCTGTTCCAGCTCTGGTTCCACCACTGCATCAATGATGCTATGGGCGTGGCCTCAGGGCCCATGCCAGGGCCTTTTTTTCTTGGAGTAATTCGATGCACCTCCAAAGTATTCATGCAAACATACTTTACTTCAAGTGATCCCCACCCTGACACTCCTGTTCGGGTCCACGGAGCTGGCCCGCTGCATCCGGAGCTGGGAGACAGGAGTGATTCGTCGAGGGGGACACGAGTGAAGGAGCCAGGGAGTTGCACCTTTGTTAAAATCTAGAGACCCTGACCTGGCAGGTGTGGAAAAATGGATGATTTGTGATGATTTATGAGGGTTTATGGTGATTTATGATGGTTTATGATGATTTATGATGATTTATGATTTTTTGTGATGATTTATGGTTATTTATAATAAATTATGATGATTTATGATGATTTATGATGGTTTATGACGGTTTGTTTATAGTTTATGATGATTTTTGATGATTATGATGATTCAGATTCATGATGCCTTATGTAACTTATGATGATTTATGATGGTTTATGACGGTTTATGGTGTCTAAGGTTTTATGATGCTTTATGATGCTTTTTAAGGACTTACTATAGTCTGTGATGGTGTATGGTGGCTTATTGTGATTCATGATGGATGCTCTATGATGCTTTATGGTTTCAGATGGTGTATTGTGCGTTCATGATGGGTTATGATGGTCCGAACATGTCTGAACCAGGTTCTGCAGAGTCTTGCTTTGCTCAAATGATGCATCCACATGTGTCATGACCAAATTTATCGCTGGGCGTACTTCGCTTTGCCAGGAGCGCGTCTTTCTGACCAGGCAAGTGAAGGGGCATCAGCAACCCTTCCAAGCATTCCATGACTTCCTGTCATGATCAGCACTCTAGCGTCTTGGCAACCTAAGGATCAGCTAGCAAATGGGCAGTGTCATCCCTTTATACTGGTTGGGTAATAGGATTTCCCATAATTATATAATGGATTTTGATGATCCCGATATATTGAGTGATGTAAAACCCGAACTAATCATCAACCAACAGGGGTGTCTTGCAGCCATCAAATGATGGCAAGGCCCAAAGGCTTCGATGTATGAACTGCCGTTGTGGTGGTTTTGTACCTAAGATATGACCACTGAAACGATCACAGTGATACCTCCAGAATCTGACGTAGTTCAGCTGTCACATATGTCACATGCTACATGAGATTATGGTATTCCATGGTATTCCCATCATTTCATCGGATTCTTGGCAGTCCATCAAGATTCCGGTAGCTGACGAGCGAATCATCTACAGAAATCCCTGAGAAAAACGGAGCGCAAGTATGGTCCTGTGTGCTCTCTTCAAGCTTCAGGGAATCAAACTCCAGTCTCCGCCCGAAGAGTAGCTGAAACACCTAGGCTTGCGTTGCAGGCTGCCCTGGAAGTAGTTTGTTATGCCACGAATCTCGCATGTGCTGGAGCAGTGATGCACATACTCTCAGCAAATATGAGCAAATCACTTTGCATGCGTTACATCTTGCTGGAATTCGTTAAGTCCATCCTTGAATCCAAATGGTGTTTCTGCAAGATTTAGCTAATGTAAGTAGCTCTTCTCACACGCTGTCCTTCTTGATTTCAGATCAATCCTTGAATCATCTTGAATCTCCTAAATTATCATAGCTATTCATAGCTTTCATTCATGTCATATCCCATTCATCCTATCATTTTTTGGAGATTTTTCCCTGCCCGTTGGCACACCATTACTGGTCCATTGGCCCATTGGCGCCAAATCACAGCCCCTGCCGTGGCCCGTGAGAAGGCTTGGTTCATTCGCACGATGCTTCCAGTCGCCGCAGCTGCGTCCAGGGTCTGGCACCTGACGAAAGGGAAGGCCCAAAAAATGGTTTGCCAATCCCTACAGCAGGGTTTGCTGAGTTTGCTAAATATTAGCATATATAATAATACATATAAATATATGAACATATTGGCTGGAAAGGATTGTTTGGTATGGAAGGTGAGTCTGTGGAACGACCGTGCTGCCAGCTAAATGTGGGAACGCATGGATGGTTAAATCCCGTTTCTTCATGCTTAAAATCACTTTCTTGACACTTAGTGAGTATGGAAATCGCAATATGTGATTGTTCAATCATGTTTAATCCCAATGTAGATTTATATATATATTATATATATATTATATATATATATTATATATATATATATTATATATATTATATTATATATATATATATTATATTATATATATATTATATACCCTCAATATATATATATATAATATGTACTTATACTATGACTCTTACTTTTTTCGAGCGAGGCACATTTCTTCACCCAGGTCTACCAAAGCTCTGAGGAGCTCCGGAGACCTCAGCAGTCGTTGGAAACTGAGCTCGCCCTGCAAGGATTGCTTCCTCCAGCGCCAAGCCTTCGCTCGTGCGATGTCGGTGAAAAGTGATCACCAAACAAAAACCAAACTGAGCGATCTAAGTTGAGGCAGTCCGTGCTATAGACTATATATTATATACCCATAGGATCCATGGTGCTGCTATATATGGTAACATGGATCCCATCAATATACCCCAAATGTTAGCATATATACCATACATTGATCCTATGGGATATAGACTATTTGTAGAAACATATTTAAAAGAAATAATATGACCCATGACCCATATGAGGTGGTAAAAACAAAAAACAAAAACGTCTAAATTCGCCAGTACCGTTTTCACCTTATCGCTATTATTCTTCCTCATCGTTTTACAGGCTTTCGGCATTCTGTCATAGTCAAGCAGACCTGAAGAGGTTCATGCACATGCCGCAGCCATTAAGAAATTACTCGCTCAATTTCCATTAAACTATGTATTTATTCTTTATATCGGACATGCTTACCTTGGCGGCAACAGCGCTTCTTGGAGCGAATTTACTGTAGCCACATTACGCCAAGACTCAATGACAAGAACCTCATATTTGTCTTTGGGTCTGACCTCTTTGGGGCGAATCTCCATGGCGGAGTGATCGGTGGGCGATGGTGTTTGAAACTGGTCTTCGGGTTAATTTTGTTTTCGTTTTGTGTCACGTAGATTCTCCCATGGTCCGTGGGGCATACTTGATCTGCTCATACAAATGCTAGGCGCACCAGCAGCTGCATTCTAACTCGGATATCGCTAGAATCAACATGCATTATCAGTAACATTATGTTAATATAGATGTTATAGTTAATATATGTTAAAAATCATATTGGTTATCTTGTTTTTCTTCCTTATTGTTTTTACAGTACATGGGCTGTGTCCAGCAAAAATGGGGACCTGCTTAGCTAAATCAAATTGCATCTGGGATCAACTGGGATCATATATGAGATTATTTTTTTTCCTAATGTATGGTATTAATATATGGTATTAATATGGTATTAATATGGTATTATATATGGTATTATAATATGGTATTAATGTAGAATTCATCCGCAGCCGCGGATGCGGGCGAAGCGTTTGTGCCTCGAAGCTTGGAAAACTGCTCCCAGGACCCAGGGCATCTTCGATGCGCTCGGAGAGTTGCAGGTCCCTGGGAGCTGGATATAGCTGGATATAGCTGGAAACAACATCTTAACCATATAGATCATTATAGATCCGTATAGTGATGAATCTAAGTCAAACCTTTTCTAGCTTTTTGGGCTGTGAAGGATTCTACAATTTAGATCTACATTTTTTGTGGCTGGGATCAACCTTTTCAAAGACACCTTCATGTGTCTTCATGTTGAGGGATGAGACCTGCACTATCCTGCACTGCTGCTTTTTGCTGGGGCAGAGCTGAGCGGAACTCTGCTTACGCGTTTCATGAGAGGCATCCATGTTGCATCATGACATGTTTGTCATGTCACCATAGCAAGAAAACCTCAGACCTAGAGCCAAGATGAGCCAAGAATGTCCAGCTTCTTTTACTTCGATGTACTTTTCTCACTCATAGATCTCATCGAAGCGCCTACCCTGATGGGATGCTCCCTGCCTACCATAGGCACATGGATCCCGATAGTTGTTCCCCTGCTTCACAGCGATGTAGCGGCTGGCTGCAGGGTCGGACAAGCACACCACATTGGCTAAGGGTGTCCATGTCCTTAGGTGGACTGATGTTGATTCATAGGTGCTGCTACGGTATGCAGAACTGGCAGCAAAGAGTTTTGACGGAAAAAATAACTATGAAACAATACTGTGTAAACAACAACTGTTTGAAGTTGCTTCAGCTCTCAGTCTGGAACTAACCAGGTAAAATTCAGCCAGGGGATTGACTTTGTACTATCCATTAAACTCCAATGAATTTTCCATCAAGCCAAGAATCTCGAAAATCTTCCCATGTTCCTCCAACAAGGATGGCATTTCGACATATTTCGACAGTAACCAGTGGGACTGTGCCTCCAAGAGCACATAGATCAACTCTGAGAAGTGTTTATACAGTTATACATGTTTAATCATGTTTATATTTTAATCATGTTTGATCTTTAATTAATCATCTTCAATCCATCCGATATTTCCATGAACCTCCATATGTTCCCTCCAATCCATGGGGATGCCCCCAAATCATCAAGTCGTTCCCCATGTCTAGTATTGAAGCCCATGGTGACTTTGGGATCCCATGGGATCCCCCATTGAACCATATTGAACCCTCCACGTTGCTGTCCTTGACCCAGGTCTCTTGCGTGTCGAAGGCGTTTCGAAGCTGCGACAGCAACTCCACGATGCCAGGCCCTGCGGGCGGCCGCACCGCCGTCGAAACGCCGTCACCGCGACACCGCGGCGTCCGCACGGCCACGGCGATGGCGGCGACGGCGGCGACGGCGGCGGCAGCTGTGGCGTCCCAAGGGGAAACCTGGCGGTTGAGGGTCATGGGGGACCTATGGTGAACTATGGTGATCTATGGTGATCTACTACATGGTGATTGGTGATCTATATAAGACACGGTGATCAAACATGTGCAAACTCGGCTTGATGAGTGTAGTACAGATAGTACAGTACATCTTGACGAATTTGGCAAATAGCTTTCTTCGAAACAGATGACAGCTACTCTTAAAAGCTATATCAAAGTCAATTTCATAGCCAAGAAATGCCAAAACGATCCTCATCTGGTGGCTGCCTCAAAGGCAGTTGCAGACTCACTCCAAAAAGATGCCGATAGCCTTGTATGCTGCCTTCGACCTGAGCCAATCGGGGCTCAGTCATGGGGGTAGACTCAAAGTGATCGTTGCAAGAGATGATTCTGATCTCCAAAACATAGTTACACATACAGTATATACAGTATCAAAATGTATCAAATACATCCAAAAGGCCGAGTTGCATGGATGCAAAGTTCCTGACACGAAAGAAAGTGCCAGGCTTCCTTTCAGGGAGGACCAGCTCACAGAGTGGAATACCCATACAGCTAACCGTTGAAATATGACCAAATTCCAATCGATTTCAATAAGATTCTCAATGAGAGCATACAGGTTCATCAGGTTTGGACAGAATTGGAGACCCATCCCTGAAATTCCAATCATGACTCCCCAAGACAATCAATCAATTTATGTCTCCTGCTGCAAGCACAACTACGTAAACAGATCTCCGTCGAGTCATCCCAAGACTGCCAAGTAGTCACTACATGCTGGTGTTTTTTTGCTTGGGTATACATTTATACTTTATATATCTTTATATTATATACTAGCCAAAATTGCTTGTCTGTTTACGAAACACTGTGAATCTAAGTGTGTCTGATAATTAATCAAGTTGTTTCTGCTATATAAAATTCCAAGTGGCTGGATATGGCTGGATGAATCCTGTGAATTTGAAATAACAAGTCAGTCAGGGTCACTGTGGCAAACCCAACCAAACACTGCATTTCTTTCATCCTGACCCAAAAATCCTGAAATCATCAACATGTTCCACTCTTCGTCTGACTGCAAGCCCAAGCTACGAAAACATGTTCACTTTCACAAATTGAGTTTTGGACCAGCACTGACCCAATGAAGTACGTATGGTCTACATTTCAGGTACTAGTAGAGACATTGATTGTCGCATCGTGCTTGAAATCCATTACCCTGCGGATCCCTGCGGTAAACAAAGATGGCAATGGAACATCCCAAACTCTCGCAGTTCCTATCGCAGTTCCAAGATGTTCCAATGCTCCCGACAAATAGGCCCGGCACTTTGCTTGACAGATTGAAGAGTTTGATAAATGCTCCTTCGGAGTCCTGTTGCTGGCTTTTGGCCGAGTGACTTGGCAATCCATAAAAGAAGCCAGAGTTCACAGGATTCACATATCATTGTGTTTGATTGACATGAAGGTATGAACATGACTAATTAAAGGTCTTTGGGCTGTACCGATTGGTGCGTCCAAACTCTATTATAAGGGATGAGTGTCACGGTGCATCCCTCTCTTTGATTCGAGGACGTGACAGGACAAACACATCAAACTGACTTGAACGTGAGCTACTCCGTCCCCAACGAACACAGTCTTGGGTTTCAATGCAAGTTGGACTTTAATTCACCACATGCGAGTTTTCGACGATATAGAAATGATCCCAGGAAGTTTGTTTGATATGGGTGCGTTTAGAAATGTATAGTTACAGTAATATGATAGTGTATGTATATAATATATATATATTGATATATATATATATATTGTATCTTGGGGATGATTCCCCTTACTAACCATGATTATAGTGAGGTCGCAGTGAGGCCGCTATAATTTATCCATATATATACATATATTACATATGTAAAAGAAACATTACTTTCCAAACCATTGAATTTGAGGCTGCATCCATGCACATCCGATGGAAAATCTTGAGGTACCAAAACCGTTGATGGTTACTATATTCTTCATATCTCCATTGTATCCTCAAATGACCTTCATTTCAACCTGTTATGTATATATATATAATATTATATATATATAATATTATATATAACTATATATATAGAAGTTATATATATATATAGTTATGTATATATATATATGATTCTATATGTATTAATTACCCTTGGTTTTCACGCCACAGACTTGATGTCAGATATGATTTTTCTCCATCGAATCCCCATCCCGCCGCTCGGCCGCCTGCACAGTCTCGTAGATCTCCTCGTAGTTGGCGATCCGCTGCTTGAGGTCCTGCATGGCCTGTCACTGGTGGAGTGAGATCTCCATTAGAAACGAAGAATTTGCCGTGGAAAATGTCTCATCTATAATCATTTATATGATAGTTATAGATGATTGCATGATATTTACAGTATATATATTTATAGATGACTTACCTATTGAAATTGTTTAAAATTGGTGATTTCCATAGCTACGTTAGTTGAGGGTATCTCGACATGTAGATGAACCATTATCAATGAATTAGATATCCCCCAAGAAACACTGATAGATTTACAACATCAACTAGTTTAGTAGATAATGATACACTTGTATAGTGATTCATGCCATTACATGTCATGATTTGGAGACACCATTTGACAATTGAACCAGATTGATTATCATGATTGAGATAAACCATGATAAACCAATGACTTCCCTCTCCTCTCTCCCTCTCTTTCTCTTTCCAGACATTCAGTCGCAAACAATTCAACAAAATGATTCGGAGCTTGGCATGGTCTCATACCTTTGTTGCGATGCCCATAGAATATATGTTCTTTTAAAACGGGTCCCCAGATTAGTGTCCTCATCATAGTCTGTGTGGCTAATTCGATTGTGAATGTTTTCGTTTGACCTGAACAGTGGTTAGTAACGTAATTTATTTTTACTCACAATTAAGTTCACTCCCAAGAAATCATGTAGAAATACGAACATGATAATCATTTGACAATTTCTGGAAACCCATTTGAATCATTTGATCTACCGGGGTATATCAGATATTGGAGACTAAATATCATCGGACCCCCTAGAACGGTGCCTGCTCTTCGGTCATCTGTTGGAAGTCTGGACTGTAGCGAACCTGTCGGGCTGTGCACAGTAGGGGACTCTGCCCTGCCTCTCAATGCTCAACACAATCACAACACAACCTTAGCCTGTCTCTTTCAAACGGATGCAAAAAAAGAGGATACCCAATCGATGACTGCTAGGATAAAATGATATAACATGAATTAACCATCGACTTTGGGAGTAGCACATTTTGAAACTAAGCGGCATGGTGTATTCCCAGCCTTTGTCAACATGTTGAACATCACCACCTGATCCACAAATCTTGCTGCTGATGTTTGCACATGTTCCACTTCGCTGGCAACAACAATTCGATATAGTGATATTCGTGCCTATAGTATCCTTTTCTGATATTTTATGACGAAATACCGCCCACATGAAGACTCGAAGACCATTTCCAAGGCTACATGCTTGTCATCCCTGCTCACACAGCACAGTCAATGAGCTGGCAAACGGTCAAATCCATTGTCGATTCACTCCACGTGAATGAGCTGCATCGGCTTCCAAGTTGCTTGGAGCCTAGACTTTTTACATCTTTTGTTGACGAGAGTCATGGATCACGCGCAAAAAAAACTGCAAGCATCTTGAATCATTTGTTGTTGTTGAAACACACATATTATATGGGAATATCAATATCTGCAAAAAACACATCAGAAAAAATACGTTTGCATGGTTTGGGTGAATGTCCAATCATCTCTTCCCAGCCTCCTCATCATCACACACGGCCTCCACCCAAAGGATACTGTATTTTCTGCCGGCATTAGTGACCTGCACGTTCCAAGAGTAGTTTCAACTGAGAAATGAAGCTTTTCCAAGTCATCCGGAACCCCAAAGTCGGGCATTCTTAATGGGACAACCGATGGTGAAAAGGGGTACCCCTCTGTTAGGGAGAACCCAAATGTCGATGAAACCTCTTGAAAGTCAATTTCTGGGTGACCAATGAGCTATCATGACCAACTTGAAAGATATGGAGTTCCCAAATTTCTATGATCGTTGCGTGCGGGGATGGGTCGAGAAATTCTGTCACTCATGACTCATGGTATGTGACGTTGATATTTCAATATTGACACAGAGTGGAATTCTTGAGTATATATGCATCTACGAATAGCATGCCCAATGATACGTATGTTACCGTATCTTAACTATAATTGAATTTGAACGTGACCTATATACCATATATATATACTGTATATATAATCTATAACCCAATAATATATATATATCAAAATTTGTATGCAAGCCCAACCAATGACCGGTTCGACATACAGTTTACTCGTCGTTCAGTCCAGACTTCAGGCCTTGTCTGCGATAAGTTTCCGTCGTTCCACTGTACCTGTGCTTTGATAAGGGGGGTTAATGGGATTTAATGGCATTGAATGGGATTTAAAGGGATAGTGAATGGGAATATTATCAGGGAAAGAATGGGAAACATTGGGATGTAATGGCATAAGAAAAACAACAAATAGTAATATCATGTAATATCCAACAATATGATGTTGGAACATGTTGGGTGTGTCTGAAAATTGGGGATTTGACCATCAACAAATAAGTTATAAGGTTTGGGTCACGATATAATTTTGAGACCATGTAACCCACCATGATTGTCTTGTGTGTGTGTGTCTGAAAGTAGGGACTTTTAACCATCAATAATAGGGCTTAAATGGGGATATGTATAACCAAACGTTCTACTTATTTGGGTGTCTGAAAATGTGGGATAAAAACAAAGCCAAAGCAATTCATCGCAAATACATGCAAATACATCCATGATAGTTTTAATCTCAATTCAAATGATTATCTCCCCTACACCTGGGAGATATTGGAGATGTAGTTGTGCCAATTCTCCATTGGTAATCGTTTGTGACGGTATGGATTGTTGACCTGCAGTTCTCTGCATTTCTATTGAACAATAGATACTCATGTCCAGCGGGCACTGTTCGTCGCATCGAAAATTGCAAATTTTCCACCATCATCAAGGAATTTGATGGCATCAGCCTGTGCGCTAGGATGCTCGTCTTGACAAAGGGATGTGTCCAATGTTCCAACCACACTGCCGCAGACCAAAACCACTGGGGAAAATTGTAATTACGGATGATTTCAGTAGAATGTATGTAGAGCAATGCATCAGATGGTATCACATGTCTTGTGGCTACCAGTAATTACAAATATAGGTGTATAGTTCTGTATGGAGACAATCAGAAGAACGAAGTATCAATTCTGACTGACGTAGATGTACTGACAGATTCCTCGAGCAAGGCAACATGTCCAAAAAAATGGCTCGTGCAATAGATCTGTGTCGCAAACATCACAATTCAGTAGACAGGAACGATTCAAGATATTCAAATGTTGTTCACGGGGCTACATATTTTGAGTTTAGTCATTTTGAGCATCAACCCATATCAACCCTGGCAGACCAAAGCAGCCATGGCCATCTCTCTGCGCTGGACCTGGGAAGAAAGAAAGGAAGACTGCTTGTTCTAATGGCCCTGCTTACAGAGGTCGAAAAAGTTCGCGGTCCAGCAATATCTTTCAGGTTTTAGCCAGTTCTAGCCCCATTGAATCTTTCAATGGTTCTTATATGGTTCTTCAGCGGGTCTGTCTATGGGGATGTGGTTCCCACAGTGTTGTGCTGAAAACCTTGATGGCAAGCCGTGTCGTAACTCATGCCACAGGTTTAGCTCCAAACTCTTGCATTGTACGAGGATTTACGAGGGAAGTTCACATAAGTTAAAGCAATAAACAAACATCAAGAAACATGTCTGAAACACATAGTTTTTCCATGCTGTCTAACATCGCCGAAGTGCCACAGCATCACGGTTGCTCTTGTCAAAGAAGTCGCTCTTTCCAGACCTCTCAGGATCCACGGCGTCCCTTCGGTACTTTCCTCAGAGAAAGCATGTGGCTGTGGAAAATGAGCTACAACTTCTAGCCATTTGGGAATACAATGATAAACTACAATAAACTATGATAAACCGATCAACCACAGGTTTTGGGTTAAGGGGGTCCCCTATTTGAACATAGACCAATGTTGAAGCCACAGCCTGTGCTGTTTCATGTTTCAGCCTACGCAAAAGGTCATCGCTAACGCCAAAGTCCTCAACGCCGGCTCAGTGGCTTGCTCTTCCAAAAGAAACAATCACATTGGCAGGAATCACATGGAATCACACATGATTTTCCGGGATTTTCCCTCTGCTGACCAGAAATCATGGAATGGCACGAGACAATGACTTCGGCAAGTTGCCAACATTGAAGGTCTGCGTGCGATTGCCCGTCCATTTCAGGAACCGCTCTACCTGCAAACCCAATGATCCCATTGTATGAAGAGGAGCATTGAATCATCATCTCAGGCCACTGAGTCATTAAGCCATCATCAATCCATTTATCAATGACCAAACGGATGATTTTCCTTGATGATCTATAAAAAATATCCCTTGATCATCCTCCCATTGGTAGCGCGGTAGATCATCCAATCCCAATGACACGGCCTTTCTGGAAATAAATGACTTTCCTCGGGCAGGAAGCCCAACCATGGCCACGATCTCAGGCAAGCCACGCGTTTGCTTGACATATTGGTTTTATGACTCCATGTCATTTGAGGGGAGTTCATGGGGATGGGATATCATGATTAATTATAATGGGGGATATAGACGGATATAAGGAGATGAACAAGGAGATATATAAGCAACATTAACCAACTGAATATGATACATGATTGGCTGTGTCTGAACATGGGGAATTTGACCATCAACAATAGACACTCAATGAGGATACGATGGGACAATGTCACCAACCATGAAAAATTCGGAGTGACTGAACATGGGATATATATATATATACACCCACCCCTAACCCCTAATATGGCAATCTTAAATGAGGAGATAGATCAAACAAGACCTGTGATTTTCCATAGCGGGGAAGAACCAGCGAGCTTTAGGTCTTCACCAAACACAAACTCTGCTTTGCCATATTTGCCATGGCGAATTAGGCTATAGCGTATACCCCCATATACCCCCATAATATGGCCATGTTTAAGCACTTGTTATATAGTTTAAAAGGTAAAATGAAGATTGACCAGTCGGAAAATGGGGAACCCCCCGCTATTCTCAGTGAAATCAATATCACAAGAGGCAGATGTCAATCCCGCCGAGTGGATGTTCATCCCCCAAAGGAATATGCAAGTGTCAGCGGCTCTTATTGTAGGCATGGATCCATATATATATAATATATATATATATAATATATATAATATATATATATAATATATATAATATATATAATATATATAATATATATAATATATATAATATATATATAATATATAATATATATAATATATATAATATATAATATATATAATATATATAATATATATATATATATATTTCAGTAGCAACACATGTTCAGCATAAAATGTCCACTTTGAGTCATCTGGAGCTTCTGCACTTCTGGTGGTTGGCAAGCACAAATCTTAATCGTGCGGATAGTGACAAATCCAGTGTAAATGGCTGAGACATCCTGAATATCATTGAATCAGTGACACACCCAAATATATATATATAATTATTTTGGGTTTATTATATATTGAATTCCATATAATGATATTATAATAATAACCATATAATGATTCCTCAAATGGTTGGTTTATTATTGGGTTGCCAACATGCTAATTGCTGGATTCTCGCCAAGGTGACATGTAAAAAAACTGCGACATGTCATCCTGCAGAGGATGTCAATGGGTCCACCATTCCCCAGCTATTCAATCAATTGGAAAACGTGCACTTCACGGAAATGGGGTTGGATGCTGAATTATGTCTGGTACTCAAGTTTGTTGTACATTTTTATAATATGTTATATATATATATTACACAATATATAGTATTACAACCATGCACTTACTGTAATCGTCATTTTAAGCCATATGCAATTGATGCAGCTGTTGTCCCCGACTTCGGCCACCGGACAAGGCCACTTGCATTGGGCGTGAGCTGCTCACGCAAAAGCCTTAGTTTCTTTGGCATAGTATATGGATGTATGATGTATGATGATGTATGTATATGGTATCATTATTCCGGGGGAAGTCAAACCGCTTCCTTTTTCATACAATATTGATAGGAAACACATGGTTCTACTGCATACAATATTCTACAATATCATACAATCATATCTGTTTCACAATAATATACAACCCATAGCAAACCAGAAAGCAAGGGAAGTGACAATCAAGATCATTCAAGGTGGAATATGTTTTTCAGAAGATTTCATAACACGGAAGACAAGGTAACCTGGTAACCTATCGAGTGTCCACACTGGCGATCTGATTGGATCTTCGAACCAATTTCAGCGGAACCGTTGTAGTACCTGTGGCTGCGAACCATCTGACTTGCGACTTCCAGCATTTCAGACAGGGAGGATCCCAAGCACAGTAAAGCAGCGCAGCTTTCCCTAAAATCTGACCAGCCTGCTGCCAAAATCCAGAAAAAAAGAACCATATTGATCATTATTTATCCATATTTGGCCCCTTTCAATTCAAGATATATAAAAAAAAATGTGAAGAATTCCGACACATTCGACTTTCTTGGAAACGTACAGCAACCCTCACTTCTCAGTATACCCAGAACCCACTCTGCCCTGCGCACGCATCTCCACCTTCAGTTTCCAGCAATGAAGCACAACGAAAAACAAAGGTGGTCATGTGTCTACGCGATCAATGGCCCAAATAATCCCAATGGCTATGATCCCTACTTCTCTCTCTCTATTTCTGCTGCAACATGGTGAAACTGATGAAAGCGGTGCCTGTGGTCATTCACCTGATGCAAAGCAAGGCAAAAGTGGTAAAGGTCACTGGAAGATGCTGGAAGCACGTGGCTATGGATCAAAATTGAGGTTTAAAAGAGTGTGTTCCAGTGGACCCACCATGGAGGTGCAACAAGCCTTTGCCCTCGGTGACATTGCATCAACACCGTTTCTGCTGATTTGTTTTAGCTACGCACAACCAAATGAGAGCACAAGAAAATTCATCATCTTGCAGTATCTTGGAAATATACAATAGAAATTCCAAATGACCACAAAATGGGGAAGCCTTGCCGAGCTTCAAGAAACCCTTTGATACTATTCACAGCCAGGAAGAGAAGGCCAAGGCAGTATGGCATGATTTGCCCAAAACTGTGCTCATGCACACCCGACCTTGTGCCACTTTGGACCCAAAGGAAATTGTGGACGCTATATCTGCGAAACAGCGGTTGGAAGATTTTATGCTGTTGAATGATGCTGAATGTATGTTGAAGGTCTGTTCCCAGCAACCATGCATTTAGTCACGTTGTAAGGCATCTGCAATCATCTGCAGGTAATTATCAGTTCGATTTAATCTGGATCGACTCGGGTCTTTTGGATTTCGCGTCACTTTGTCATCATTTACTATATTATGTGAGTGACACCCCTCAGTGCATCAGGCATTCTGTACGCTGTGGCGCTCGCACACCTAGGTTCTTGATCTGAGATCTGGAGGCATAGCTTTGACTGTGCAGAAACAATCAGGAACACATCGAAAACATGGTGTGTTTTTAAATCGGGAACCCCAAATAAGCCCAACATGGTGTTTTTGCTGAGCAAATCGGTTTGGGGTCCAACAAGTTTAAGACAACCCCACATGAAAGAAACATGAGAGCACTTCTGAGGTTCATCATGTTTCATCGAAATGTGACTTGATTTTTTACCCAACAGCGACCATCCGACACTATTTTGCTGGCCGGCTTTGAGCTTAGCGGAAACAAATCATCGGATACGAGCTACTTGCGATCAACGACGATGCTGATCGCTGAATGAGGCAGGCTGAGTCTCATCCTATGATATCCTATGTACATCTCACTTCACATGATCAACCCATTGACTATCCTTGACTAGGAGACAGGTGAGTTTACAAGCAGTAGCAAATCGCTGGAACGGTTGGAGTAATGAGGTCTCACACAGAGTTGATCATTGTGTCAAAGCGGGTCTCGCATTGAGGTTCACAAATAATTTGCTATGGGTCAAAATGACCAACATCATATTCAAATATATTCCATCTGTACACAATGCATCTACATAACATCACATAACCACGATATAGCAACGGGGTCTTCCTCTTGCGAATCATCATTCACCAATGCAGCACTTTAAAGAATTGGTTTTGCCTCGGAAGATGGGCTCGATATTCCTCGAACTTGCAAAAGGCTTGGGCAAGCTGTGTGATGACAATCGAAACAGCAAGTATTTTTTTGTTTTTTTAGTGTGACGGTCCTGATCCTTCCTATCCTTCCTGCTTCTTGGATGCAACCCACCGACCCCTATTCCTCCTGCAGGAAACCACTTTTTCCTCAGAAGGGACCTATCGTATATCCGACTGGATCGTCGATTCAGAAAGGCTCTGGCCACTTGTACTTTGATAATGATATGATAAATATATACTGACTCTTGTAGATTAAGTGGGAGGGTCATATAGGTCCCCATTATATAGATCTAAAACGGTGGTCTACAACCCTCCCCCAACAGGGCCCTCCATAAAATGGGAATCCGAGATCTGACCCCCACCTCAAGATGCTCTTGTCTGGGGCATGTTGTCCCTCCCCATTGTTATACAAATGTGATATAATATGATAACATACACTATAATGTTGTTTTTCTTGCATGGACAATAGATAGGTTCACCTTGACCAATTACTTAGCTCTTCTTGCATGGTGTCACACTAATATACCAAAAGGGACAAACCATCAACCTGCATAAACACACAAACAAACGATGGAAATGAAGGAATCGGGCTGTCCTCGAAACTCAGCTGTTGGGTTGTACATCCTCAGCAGCTGAAGAGTTGTTTGGCTCAGGGCCATGGAAAATCATGTCAACTGTATCCAGAATTTGCTGTGAACCACGAAAAAAAATATAGAAAACACATGAACAACAACGTCCGACTGAGGCAATCCTGAAGTGCGGCACTGAAGGCTTAGCTTGTCCACTTGTTTCAGAAAGTCTAAACATCATATTGAATCACACTGTACACTGTAATACCGTATTATAATATCTTAATATATACAGTATAGATAATATATGATCATATAGTATGTATAAAGAATATATATATATATATGAATATAAATGTATATATATAAAGTAAATAAACAAATAAAAATGAATATATATATATATAGTGTAATTATATATAAAGTATATAATTATATTATATATATACTTGATTATATATTGGGTGTGTCCGGTTAATGAATCTCTCCATTCTAGTCCTTGAGACTCTTGCGCGTTTATGGGCTGTCCAGCTAGGCTCTTTCCACGGAACGTCTGGGAACTCGGACAACGAAGACAAAGTATGTGCCTTCGCCACACTCGCTGCCATATAAGTCAAGGATGCCATTGCCAACTGCCTCGGTGGCTCTAACCCATCCACAGATCAAGAAAGTTAAACACATAGATAATCGATTATAACAAATACTAGTACTAGTAGTAGTCAACTGGCAATCTTTTTGGGAAGAACATTCTTACTTTGAATGATCATGAATGCTGTAGGGATGGAAATTAACAACGAATTGATCTATAGACACTTTGCTGATCACCCGCACCGGTTTGGGCTGGCCTTCTGGAAGACTGGGCCCGAATAGGGTCCGTTGGGAATGCCAGTGCTGACGGTGCTCTCCATGCTAGAGGGCTCCCAAGCACCTGGCAAAACGGTGGATATGCCGCTATGCCCATGCTGGAAGCAGTTCAATCCTCTTGATTCACGTGGCATCACTTGGATTATATAAAATGATTGAAATGATTGAAATATATTGCTGGGGGAACACAAAAATGTTGGCCCACTTTTAGTACAGCGAACGATCCCATGTTAGCTCATGTCAGGGTGACCCATGCGACCTGCGAACAGTTGATACTGTAGATCTTGATATATACAGAATGTTTTGGTTGGCTAGTGGGATGTCACGGGAATCACTCGGTCTACAAACGCAAGGACGCAGTCTTGACCGTGCCGAAACATGTAGGCCCGACTCAGAAATAGAGCACACACACGTACACACTCCGGCAATGATGATAAAGACATACTGTAGCGCTGAGATCCACAAACATCGCAAGATATCTTAGATATCTGATAATTATCTTGGAATCTTAGGAGACCGTTTTCACCCAAAACGGCTTGTCAGTCCGGTGTCTCCGCCTTGATCCAGCCAGGGTCGAGCGCAAAGCACGTGAAATTCGCTGCGAAAGTTCAAGTACACGACAACCTTGGTGCTTTCAGTGGTGCAACTGCAAGACATGATTTCCATCTTCAAGCTTCAAAGATCCACCATGGCACATCACAACTCTGAAAAATCTACATTCCTGTGAATGGTTCAGTACTTTTTTCCCTTTTTGCCATCTGCCCATCTGTTTCACGACACGCCCAGCAATGCGTTGTGGTAAGCCGCAAGACCTGACCCTTGATCCTCGTCCTCATCCCCCACATCCGCCAGGTGTGGATCAGCATCTACCGCATCTACCGCACTGCGCCGCTGGCGCCGCCGCTGATGCTTCCAGGGCCGTTCCACGGATGGTTCCGCGGCCTCTGCGGCCTCTGCGGCCTCTGCGGCCTCAGGTTGGGAGGCTTCAGCGTCCGCGGGACGCTTCTCGGGGGACGAGGGATCCACTGGTGCTGGCGGAACCGGTGGAACCGGTGGAGGCACCATGGAGGAGGCCATCATGGCGTGGCGTTGCGCCTCAAGCGCCACGCGGGCAGTGCTATTCGTGGAAGGATCGGCTCGTGCAATGCCTGCTAGCTGCTCATTTCGCTGTTGGGACTGCTGCAATAAACCTTGCATCTGAATCAGGACCTGCATGAGCTCCTTGTTCTCCCTCTCTAATCTTTCCATTCGGCTCATGACCATCTGGAAAGCCTCCAGCGTCCTTCCGGACAGGCCGGCCATGGCCTCAGCTGGTGTGAGCTCATGATCAAAGTCCATGGTGGCTTTGGCGTCCTTTGCGGGAGCTGCTTGTTTTCGAGGCACTTGTGGCATGGGTCGATTGATCTGCAGCTGCGGCTTTGTTGCAGCCTTGGGCTTTTTCTGGGCAGGTCTTCCTAGGGTTTTGGACTTAAAGTCCTCAAAGGCCACTAATCTGCCCCAGGGTTGCCGCAAAGCATTCTTTTGCTTTGGATGGACTAGATATCTGTCATGGAGGAAAGTGAAGCACATCCTCAAGTTCTCCTGTTCTCGGAACTGTACAGCGACTGAAACCATGGGTTCTCGTCCAGTATCGCCAGGAATTTTCTTGAAGAAGACTTCAGCCACCTTCACAGCCCCCCAGGACTTCAAGAAACCCATCCAGAAGCTTCCTGGGTACAAACCAATGCTAGCACTCTTGGCTCGAAACTCTGGGTCCGAGATGATCCAAATCTGTGGCAATTCCAGGACCAAGGCATCACAAGCCTCACTCTCTTTCAGGCGGGATGTCAAGGAATTGATCCGCTCCGGATCCAAGTCATTTGATGTTTCCAAGACATCAACAACGGTAGCTGACAAGGACTCTTTTTCATATTTTTCCACCTGCTTCTGCGTCCCCACCTTGAGACCCTCCGGCAACTCGCCATTGATGGCCACGACAACCTCCCTCGCATTGACTGCAGCATCAATGCGATCTCGGCAGTCATCGAATCGGATAAATAGATCCTTGAAACCGAGTGAGTCTCGTAGAATTTTCTCAACCTCCGCAACTGGAATCTTGTATGGATTCACAACTGAAACATCATGAGGGCTCGCCAAGCGAACACGCACCCGGAGTGGGCAGAAAATCGATGGAAATTGACTGCGCTTGGGAAGAACCCACCTGCCTTCTTTGGTAAAGTGACTCTTTTCATCGTAGGTCACCTGTGGCACAATGCATGCCATGTCTGTGCCGTTTTCGGCATCAGCTTCTGTGTTTTCCTCCGCCGGTTCAGCCGCAGTTTCGGCCACTTCAGCAACTGGCTCACTGGGCTGTGCTTTCTCACTCTCATCAGCTTGGGCAGCTTGGGCAGCTTCAGGTGCAGAGGTTGCAGTCACATCAACCGCTGGAGCTGCTTCAGCTCCAGGTTTCTCAGCTTCCGGAGCTTCTGGAGCTTGCGGAGCTTCCGGAGCTTCAGCTGTCTTTTGCGCCGCCTCAGTGGCCTCAGTGTCTGCGGTGTCTTCAGTCACCATCTGCTGCAGCTGCTGAAGCTGCTGCAGCTGAATCTTCAAGGATTCATCCTCATCCTCAGCCTCCATGGCGGCTGGGCCCCAGCTACACTTGGCGTTGGTCAGCTGACAATAACCAAGGACCTGTCAGTGATCTCTGCGAAAAAGTTCTGTATACCAATTTCAAGAACATATCTATCTGCCTGTGGAAGCCAATAGGCAACATACCATTAAGATCATTGAATATAGTGAATGAGTATGCGTGTGGGTAGACCTCCGGAGTACAGACAACCCTGTTCTTGATTCTTATCCTGACACACGCAATCCAGAAGTATCAGAAGTGCTTAAACTGACTGACTGCAGACATGTGCTTATTTATTCCGCTGCTCACATCCCACAAATTACATGTTGAGATTACATCCATGTTTGAGTCTGTTTGCTGAGCACCCATTCCTGTCAAGCGATTGAGCCAGTCGGCAATTGCAGTCAAAACAGCTGTTGCCGGTGTAGCCTGGTGGTTGATCAGTCTCTCCCTGCACAGAGTCCTACTGCTGCAGCGGCTGTTGAGGCGTGACGGCGCAAGAAATGTGGTGACCAAAACCGCAGTCTTGCAGAATCCATGGGAGATCAAGTGGGTACAGATCACAACCCAAGAATATCGTGTAGTTCATATCAAAATGTATCATTGGTAAACAATTGATGCTCATCACATCACATCATATCATCAAACAATCGCGCGAAGCGATTCTGTGTGTGTTCATCTCCCAGTCATAGCACCATAGGTTTTGACCCCATCGCAGCGTCGAGCCACTGGCATCCGTACGTTCAGGCGCCACATTGTCTCATCAGATCTGGTGGCCTCGCTGCCACGGACATCGATAGAATATGCTGCATAGCATACTATATATATAATATATATGATATTATATTATAATATCGTATAACAACATATAACAACATAAAACAATATATGACAACAAAAAAACAACATATAACAACATATAACAACATATAACAGCATATAACAACATATAACAACATATAACAACATATAACAGCATATAACAACAGATAACAACATATAACAACATATAACAACATATAACAACATATAACAACATATAACAACATATAACAGCATATAACAACATATAACAACATATAACAACATATAACAGCATATAACAACAGATAACAACATATAACAACATATAACAATATATAACGACATAAAACACCATATAACAACATAAAACAACATATAACAACACCATAGAACAACATATACCAACATATAACAACATATAACAACATATAACAACATATAGCAGCATAAAACGACATAAAACACCATATAACAACATATAGCAACATATAACAATACATAACGACATAAAACAACATATACCAACATATAACAACATATAACAACATATAACAACATATAACAACATATAACAACATATAACAGCATATAACAACATATAACAACATATAACAACATATAACAACATATAACAGCATAAAACGACATAAAACACCATATAACACCATATAACAACATATAACAACATATAACAACATATAACAGCATATAACAACATATAACAACATATAACAATATATAACGACATAAAACACCATATAACAGGATATAACAACATATAACAACATATAACAACATATAACAACATATAACAACACATAACAACATATAACAACATATAACAACATATAACAGCATAAAACACCATATAACACCATATAACAGCATATAACACCATATAACAGCATATAACAACATATAACAGCATAAAACAACATATAACAGCATAAAACAACATAAAACACCATATAACACCATATAACACCATATAACAACATAAAACAGCATATAACAACATATAACAACATATAACAGCATATAACAGCATATAACAGCATATAACAATATATAACGACATAAATCAACATATAACAACACATAACAACATATAACAACATATAACAACATATAACAGCATATAACAACATATAACAACATATAACAGCATAAAACAACATAAAACACCATATAACACCATATAACAACATATAACAATATATAACGACATAATGCAACATATAACAACACATAAAAACATATAACAACATATAACTATATATAACGACATAAAACAACATATAACAACACATAACAACATATAACAACATATAACAACACATAACAACATATAACAACATATAACAACATATAACAACATATAACAGCATAAAACACCATATAACACCATATAACAGCATATAACACCATATAACAGCATATAACAACATATAACAGCATAAAACAACATATAACAGCATAAAACAACATAAAACACCATATAACACCATATAACAACATATAACAACATATAACAACATATAACAGCATATAACAACATATAACAACATATAACAGCATATAACAGCATATAACAGCATATAACAGCATATAACAGCATATAACAGCATAAAACACCATATAACAACATATAACAACATATAACAACATATACCAACATATAACAACATATAACAACATATAACAACATATAACAACATATAACAACATATAACAACATATAACAGCATAAAACACCATATAACAACATATAACAACATATAACAGCATAAAACACCATATAACAGCATATAACAGCATAAAACAACATATAACAGCATAAAACAACATAAAACACCATATAACACCATATAACAACATATAACAATATATACCGACATAAAACAACAAATAACAACACATAACAACATATAACAACATATAACAACATATAACAACATATAACAACATATAGCAGCATAAAACGACATAAAACACCATATAACAACATATAACAACATATAACAATATATAACGACATAAAACAACATATAACAACACATAACAACATATAACAACATATAACAACACATAACAACATATAACAGCATAAAACGACATAAAACACCATATAACAACATATAACAACACATAACAACATATAACAACATAAAACAACATATAACAACATATAACAACATACAACAACACATAACAACATATAACAACATATAACAACTTATAACATACAAGATCATATATCAGTTTTGCTCCTTTCGGACGGCTCCAAGTACTGTCTATGGGATCATCCCAATCACCTCCGTCTCATTTGGGGGAACATGCCATGTCCACATCCCTTATGGAAATGAACATGTTCATGAAATAAACATAATATATTATAATGAAATATGAATATAGAGATTCAATGTTCATTTAGGTCACTGCGAACTGCACGAAGGTCCCATGAGGCCTTGTCATCATTGCTGGTCATGATGTATCTCATTGACGGCTTCTCGCTGAAACCACCCAAAGAGAGGAAGCGGTAACCACGATCCTTGCCACATGTCGAGCAGAAAGTACATCACCGAGGGAAATAAACAAACAGCGCAATCCTCCTATACTACAGCGCATTTGCAGGTTGAATTATGATGAAGTTGGTAAGGTTGTGACGGCAAAAAACAGCACAAGGGATCAAGAAAATATGTAGCGGTCGCTTCCGGCCAAACAAATACAAAGATCAAAACAAGTTGTTAAAGAAAAAAAACAAAAACAGTAAATAATGGCGGATACTGACTGATACTTTTGATTCCTGAGATTTCCTAAACGCTCAGTGTCACTACTGCTAGCCAGAGTACAAAGTGGCATTTTTCCCCTCGTGTAGGTACATCCATCAGCTTGATCTCACGTCCAGTTTTGGCCTCGCGAACAGCACTGGGACAAGGTGCCAGGGGTTCAAGCAATGTCTACTGTTTAATGCAATGGAATAGAAAGGTAAGTAGTTTTTTGCCCCGGCTTTTGCAGTAACCACAATTTCCGTTGCTCATACATGTATATATACATATATATATAACACTATATAACTATATATATAATATCAATCAATATCACCTGCATTTAGTCACTGACCTCCTCTTACAACGCAGTACTTACATCATTTTTGAAGGTGGACCCTTGGCAGTTGGTTCCTGGCCCCTTTTTCTCCGTTTGGAAATGGCAAGGATTTGGCAAACCAACAGGGCAAATAATTGCCCTAAATCCAAAATGATTTGAACATCAAACTCCAATCAAACTGCATTCACATTGGCATGTATGTATGTATATATATATATTTATATGTGTGGTCGGTGATATTTTATCAGCATGTCAATGAACAAACTGGGTAAATCAAAATTGGATGATGGGAACCTACATCATCATATAATAATACACACATATATATATAGATAGTATCATATATATATAATACAATGATATACCGTATACATAACATAATATTATATATATATATATGAATATGATATGGCAACCATCGCAGGGATTCAACTGTTCAGCACACCATGCAGGCCTGCACAGTGACAGCAGGGCCATGAAGCTTCAAGAAGGTCAACTCCTGTCAGCGACAAAGGCAATCTACCAGCGACAGTCAGCTAGTCATAGGGACCATCACCATCTCGAGGGGATGGGGGGACCACCAAAGACTGGGCCATATATATATACAATATATAAAAACATATGGTATTGTATATGAGGTGTTCTATATGATGATACACTAACTTATAGTAAATATGATGATATATAAATTTTCTGTGGTGATGTATGACCAACTATGGTGATATATGATCAATTATGGTTATGCAAAAAAATATGTATAATATTGATGTATTACTGTATTCATGATGTCCTAAACCCTGGGGGCCAATCATCCCAAATCTGAGGATAGGGCCATGGTGCCTTCATGGTCATGCGATGGAGCCAAGTAATCTCCTTGGCACGACCCCAAATTCCAAGGAGAGGCCGAGCTGCCAACATAAGTAAACTATATATATATTAAATTATAGCATCTCTACAAACTCCACTAACAGCCAAGCAGGGACACATTCCGCCCTACCTGATTTTCCAGCAACTAGGGACAAGGAGAACATGCAACTCCAACCCTTTAACTTTAACTAATACACAAGCAGCTCACTATCCATCATGAACGAGAGCGACCATGGCAAAAACACCATCGCGGGCTTGGCCACACAACCCACACTCTATCACAAGCAAGAGGAGCAAGCACCATGCGCGCATGGAAAAAATACTTCTCCACTGGTCGTTGGGTCTGAATGCCAAACTTCCCATTGAGGTTGTTTAATTGCACGGCATGGCGCGCAAGCTCTTCCAAACTGCTTTGATCCAAGCTCCACTGCTGCATGATAGAAGGCGCTGGACGTGTTCACAATAAACACACCTGGCACTACTGTAGAGTTCCTAAGGTCGGGCTCTACTTCCTTGTCCTTTTCTATGTCTGAATCTAAATTTGCTTCAGATTCTGAAGAGGATGAAGACGAAGAGTCCTCATCATCAGACACCTCAGTTTCTGCATCCGATGCAAGGTCCCTGTCTCTTGACCTGGCAGGTATCAAACCTGACAAGAATCTGCCGTCCAATGGCTCCAGAAGAGCGGCTAAGGCCGTTTCCGCCACAGGATGCTGCGCACCCCAGCTCTGTGGGAACCCAACCACCACGAATAGCTTGCAACACACGCAACTGCGCACGAAGAGCGGGAAGAACATCATCACACGCATATTTGGTTACCATCTTGCTGCCAGAATCAAATGAACGATGGTGGCTCCACAAGCGTCGCTCGTGCACATCCACATCTAATTGCAAACCCCAAGATAGACCTGTTGTTTTCAAGCTGTACAGCGTGTAACTGCTGGCCTGAGCAGAAGGGACTCCACCTACTGATGCCAGGAGACGCCGAAAAGAAAGAACAACAAACAGGCAAGCGTGTTGGAAAGCACTACCTCTCAGGGGAAAGAGAGATGAACAACCACTAGCCCAACCAGGATTGCCACTGGCTGCAAAGCAAATTCAACCAACTCATGAAGCAACATCAGAGTAGAACCCGACAAACCAACATAGCATGCAAGGTGAAGTTTGAGAGAGTGGTGTTCATGCGTGCAAGCCCTCATGAAAACAGCATGTAACCCCCAAAAAGATGATGTTCTTAAAAATAAAACAAGGCCCTACAAATTTGACAATGATTTATGTACAAGATACACTTCTTTCTTTTTGAGGATAACAATGTCATTGGGCCATGTGTTCTTGCCTTTGACTTGGTCATCCACGTTTTCTTTTTGACTATGCTGCGTTGTCTGAAAATGTGGTAGCCCTGATTCCAAAGAATTATCAATGATTGACATTGTCTTCTTTCCCGTTTGGCCATTTTGGGGTATACGGTATACCACATGTTTGGACACACCCACATTGCATAATTGCTTCATTTGGTTCAACTTTGTCAGCGGAACTAAACTCCCAGACCAATCCCATCCCCCTAATATCAAAATCTATCATATACATGTACAATACATTGTCCAAATATGTGATTTCATGTTTCATCCCCTCGTTAATACCGTGGTTTCTGGGATTACCAACAGCCCTTAAAAAAGGGCTTCCAAGCGACACGTCCCAAGGTCCCAAGGTCCCAAGGCTCCCAGAAAGGCACTGTGCTTGAGGACGGTGGTGCCGACGCAGAGTTGCACCAATTCGACTTCCATGTCCAACGCAGCACCTCAAAGCAGGGAGCTTGAAGAAACATCGGCATCAGCACATGATATATCTATGTGTATATATATATGTATATTTATTTATTTATTTATTTATTTATTTATGCATGTAATTAGTATAATGTAATGTAATGTAAAAGTAACGTATGTATATATCGATGTATGTAAATATCGATGTATGTGTGTATGTATGTCTGTATGTCTGTATGTCTGTATGTCTGTATGTCATGTAATGTCATGTACATGTAATGTACATGTAATGTACATGTAATGTACATGTAATGTACATGTAATGTACATGTAATGTACATGTAATGTAAATGTAATGTAAATGTAATGTAAATGTAATGTAAATGTAATGTAAATGTAATGTAAATGTAATATGTATATATATATACACAAATAGTATCTATCTATCTATCTATCTATCTATCCATCTAGCTACAAACATACATACATACATGCATTCATTCATTCATTTATGTCATTCATTCATTACATTGCATTGCATTACATTACATACATTCATTCACTCTTTCTTGCTTAGATTTCATGTCATTTCATTTCATTTCGTTTCATTTCATTTCATTCATTACATTCATTACATTCATTACATTCATTACATTCATTACATTACATTACATTACATTACATAACTTAACTTACATACATACATACATACATAAGTTACATTACAATAATACATACATACATACATACATACATACATCCATACATCCATGCATGCATGCATGCATGCATACATAACATAACATAACATAACATAACACCATATTACATTACATTACATTACATTACCATACATTACCGTACATACATTACATACATTACATTACATTACATTACATTACATTACATTACATTACATTACCATACATTACCATACATTACCATACATTACCATACATACATTACATACATTATACATTACATACATTACATACATGACATCCATTACATACATGACATCCATTACATCCATTACATCCACTACATCCATTACATTCATTACATCCATACATCCATACATCCATACATCCATACATCCATCCATCCATCCATCCATCCATCCATCCATCCATCCATATTGCGTATAATTTATGCTGTTTCTGCTCTCACTTGCCATTCCAAGGCGATTCTGCCTAATTGACTTCTTGTTCTCATTTTTAAAATACCAGTCTGCCATATTTCAGATCCTCATCAGTGAAACGCTGCAAGCACACATAATTTTGTCTCAAAATGGGAACATCAAATGATCACCAGCCAGATAAACCATCAGATTGAACAGAGCACAAGTTTTTCAGACAAACACCAGATTGAACAAGCCCTCAAAAGACACTTCCCATGGTTGGTGGTTTCAACCCCTCTGAAAAATATTAGTCAGTTGGGATGATGATTTGCAATCTATGGAAAAATAAACTTCATGTTCCAAACCACCAACCAGCTTCAAACAAGAGGCGAATTTGTTGCACCAACTTCTGAATCGGAGTCCGTGACCGGGCGTTGCACTCCTGGCGGTTGACAAATCACCAAGGTGCGAATTGGATGCGAAACCAAAGAGCTTTGTCTCAACATGGAGGTTACAACAAATTATGAGGATATGACATGGCGAAAAGATGGGAAAAGGATGAAATACGATGAACATACATGATAAATCATGAAAAGGCATCAATTTTTTGGGGGCACAAACCATCACAAGGTGCCAAGATCCTCGAGCACAACCTCGCCACTGATGCCTGCGTGCAGCAAAAAACTTCTTACCATCTGGGTACTTAACGTAGCGAACTGGAGAATCACCATTTTTGTAATAATAGGGAAATCATGGGAAATCATCATGAAACAATATCAAACAAATATCAAACATCTATAGATTCTATAGCCATAGCTATGTAACCGGGCCATTTTCCATAGCTATGTTTATATAATAACCAGAGGGTATTCCTTTGTGAAAACCAGAGGGCGCCTCGTACGACCAAGTCCACAGATTCCACTCCAGCTTCATCCCACTGGTCCTGAGATATCGTGGTCAGATGTGGTCAGCCAGGTGCAGGCAAAAGAAAAGAATACATAGTATTCATATAGTATTCATATAGTATTCATATAGTATTCATATAGTATTCATATTATAGTATTCATATTAAAGTATTCATATTAAAGTATTCATATTATAGTATTCATATTATAGTATTCATCTAGTATTCATCTAGTATTCATCTAGTATTCATCTAGTATTCATCTAGTATTCATCTAGTATTCATCTAGTATTCATCTAGTATTCATCTAGTATTCATATAGTCTTCATATAGTAATCATATAGTCTTCATATAGTCTTCATATAGTCTTCATATAGTCTTCATATAGTCTTCATATAGTCTTCATATAGTATTCATCTAGTATTCATCTAGTATTCATCTAGTATTCATCTAGTCTTCATCTAGTCTCCATCTAGTATTCATCTAGTATTCATCTAGTAGTCATCTAGTAGTCATCTAGTATTCATCTAGTATTCATCTAGTATTCATCTAGTATTCATCTAGTATTCATCTAGTATTCATCTAGTATTCATCTAGTATTCATCTAGTCTTCATCTAGTCTTCATCTAGTCTTCATCTAGTATTCATCTAGTATTCATCTAGTATTCATCTAGTATTCATCTAGTATTCATCTAGTATTCATCTAGTATTCATCTAGTATTCATCTAGTATTCATCTAGTATTCATCTAGTATTCATCTAGTATTCATCGAGTATTCATCTAGTATTCACCTAGTATTCATCTAGTATTCATCTAGTCTTCATATAGTCTTCATATAGTCTTCATATAGTATTCATCTAGTATTCACCTAGTATTCACCTAGTATTCATCTAGTATCATCTAGTATTCATCTAGTATTCATCTAGTATTCATCTAGTATTCATCTAGTATTCATCTAGTATTCATCTAGTATTCATCTAGTATTCATCTAGTATTCATCTAGTATTCATCTAGTATTCATCTAGTATTCATCTAGTATTCATCTAGTATTCATCTAGTATTCATCTAGTATTCATCTAGTATTCATCTAGTATTCATCTAGTATTCATCTAGTCTTCATCTAGTATTCATCTAGTATTCATCTAGTATTCATCTAGTATTCATATAGTATTCACATAGTATTCACATAGTATTCATATAGTATTCATATAGTATTCATATAGTATTCACATAGTATTCATATAGTATTCATATAGTATTCATATAGTATTCATATAGTATTCATATAGTATTCATATAGAATTCAAATAGAATTCATATAGTATTCATATAGTATTCATATGGTATTCATATAGCATTCATATATCATATAGCTATATGATGCTAATTGATGCCATATGTAGCTATCATGGAAGCCTCACCCAAGTTTGATTGGACGCTAATTGTGTTGGGTTTGACCCAGTCCCATATCACCATTGTCACCGAAAATCTCCTGCAAGGCAGGCTTGGGTCTGCATACCTGGCAGCTGAAAAGCAATTGATAGAGGACCAGTGACTAAAATAACTACTAATGACTACAACAACAAAAAACTTTCTGAGACACATTTTACCAAGTCATGCCACGGCATGTCAAGACAAAGCAAGAAAGAGTCAAGGCTCTTTCATCAAATATATCAAATACAATGATTTCACACATGCAACAACATCCCAGCATTTCAAGCAGTGGATATCAAAAGCAGCCGACTTTGATACAGAAAAAAGTGAAGAGTTGATCATTAACAACAATCATGTGGGGTTTGTCTGCAATAACATGATGCTTAACTTGTACCCCAACAGTTCTCATGGTTGGTTATATTTTTCCCAACCAACGTGGCAATTTGATGCAATTTGCAGGGTCTCTCCCCATGTTTGGACAAACATATGGCCAATGCCATGTTTCCGAAGGCCTTGTCGCGGAGTTGTTGCAACAGCGGTGGGCCTTTCTCAGCTTCTACCTGCGGAGCACCAGCTGCAACATAACTCCGAGCCGAGGCGAACTTTTGCGGGCACACTCGGACTCTTTTGTTAAAACCAATTGTCAACAAAGAGCTCTTCAAACAAAATGAGTATGAGGCTTGTCATCCTTATCTTTTCAAGAAATGCATGGATGTTCAAGCATAACTTCCGCCCATTGACTTTAAAAATACTCGAAAAACAAAGGCTCCATGCCGTCTGAAGACACCCCTGTGCGCACTTCATCAGTTTGCCCTCGTAGCAGGACCTGAACAGCATGAGATGAAAGCTAGTCCACTCGGTCTTTCGCTGCTCACCAAAGGTGGACATTGCGATTGGGTGGGTGGATGCGCAGTAATGCGTATTTTCATAAGAGTAGTATAAGATCGCGAGAGCATATACTTTAAATCTTTAAGAATGCAAAGCATCTACAGAATCTATACAGCCAAGCCTGGTGCATGATGCAGAATCTAACTCACTTGAAATACATATTAACTATGATATTCGAATATTAGTGAAGTCTGTCTGACATACCTGACATAAGACAACATCTGCCTGAGTATACCATGCCCCCACAACTGTGCAGCTGTTAAGAGCGATCTCCTTTTCAGTGCGTCAATCAGAAAGCTCAGATCCATCAGAATCTAGGTGACCAAGCAACACATCAGCCATTTGAGTCGAAGCTGAGCTACATGAGCTGCCGGATCTGCCGGCCGATGGAATGGTTTTCTGCACACGAAATGGTTTCCTCATTGAAAAGGATGGCAGATTTTGCCGCGTTCCTGGTCGTGGGATTCCAGAAGAAGAACCTTGGGAACGTTTCGTTCCACGTGCGCCCTGGCTACCATGGCTACCATGGCTACCATGGCTACCATGGCTGTGGCTACCATGGCTGCTCTGGTAACCAGTTGTGGCATCGGTCGTTGTTCCCGACAGTTCAGCTTCTAAGACCGACATGTAGGCATCCAAGGAGTCTTCACCACGACGCAAAGCAGCTTCCATGGCCTCACGACGCTGTTCCTCAGCCTCCCGGGCACGCAAGCGTTTCTCAAATTCAGAGAAACCTGCATCCCACCAGGATTTTCCACCACGACCTTCAGAATTTTCTGGACCTTCAAAGTCTTCGCCTTCTCCCCAACATCCAGGTGGAGCGGGTCGATCATAGCGACCACCACGTTGGTAGGGTCTTCCAGGATAGTCTTGCCAGTTTGAGCGTGGCCGATCCAGCTCTTGCCTCTGTCCTTCCGGCGCACTCAGGAGATCAAATACCTCAGACAGCTTTTGGAAAGCCATCTTTGCTTCTGGATGTGAACATTTATCTGGATGTACCAGCAAGGCGGCAGTCCGATATGCCCGTCGCAGTACCTTCGTTTCACACGGGGCCTCTGGTAAGCCCAGGCGTGCGAAAGGCGAGGCACCTGGAAGCAAGGCTCGACGGATAGCAGCTGAGACATCTGACAGATCTGACGGCATGGCTGTGCTACATATGCTGCTACTGGAGCTGGGAGCTGGTGGCGTGGGGGGAGTTATAAGCTGAATGTTTAAAGCAGTATTAATATATGTGGATGTTTCTTGATGCTTCTCTTGTCGTTCATAAATCTTTGTGTCAAACTCAGAAACTGATGAGCTGTCAATTTGTTTGGCTTCTCCATATTTCAAACTAAAGTTCATTCTATCCTACCTTTCCTGATCCACACATGTCCAGGTTGGGGACGAGAACAGAGTGGCACAGGCCAGGGAAGCTTCAGTTTGCCATGTTGGTGTTTTAGCATGTTTATCAGTGTAGTTTCAAATTTCCTACAACGCCTATCTCTCTCAACCAGGCATGTTTGAAAACAACTCGAGACCGTCAGGAATCAAATGTTTTGTAAATAGAACAAACTGCAGCTTTTGGGAAAACACATATCATGTTGATATAACATGCCTCGATCGTAAAGGTAGAACAGGAACATGGTATGGGCGCCTCTAAGAGGCCGTGCGTTTTTGAAGTTTTTGAGGTGGGGTGGGGTGTGGGGTGGGGGTGGTGTAATGACGTTCATATCTCTTGCGTGCAAGGTGATGCGACGTGGATGCTACGTTGACGTTACGTTGATCATACTTTGACCAGGAACATGTGAGAGGTCTAGGTACATCATGAAAAGTCATCCTTAGATTCAGCGAGTAGAACTTTGATTGAACTTGGTACTATCTGCCAAAACTGGCTTACAAAACATCCTTCTGAACTTGCAAGGAAACTTTGAAACTGCCACTTCACATCCCATTCCATACCTTGGACTCAACAATGTCAGCTGTCGGCTTTCTGAGCAAATGATACTAGCACTGGCTCAATGTTGAGGAGATCGGCACATTTCTTGATGTTTTGTTTCTGTTCCAGTTCACATGAGAGTGCGGGCTTGCCGCGCAACCCCTCAATAATGTATATAAGTCGCCGTCGCTGCCGCGCCTTCCAAGCAGCATATGCCCTGCATCGCAGTAAAGCACGGCCGGCACCGGAGAACCTGCAGTTGCACCACAACTTCCACAACTTCGACTTAAATCACATAGTGTCTGAAAATGGGGGATACATGGGGATACTTCCTCATGAAGGTTCAAAAAAACAACTATATGCATCTATATGCGAATGTTGGGATCGTAATCTCACCATTTCTTGGTTTGATGTTGAGCCATTTCCAAGCATTGATGTTAGAGCATCGAGGAGACATCTTCAGGGTATCGATTTGTCCAGGATGGAGTGGGAGTCTAAGTCAGAGTCTGGTTCTTCCCAAAATATCCCAAAATGATACGTCAGTGTGTCTCAGTATTTAGAAATTGCTGAGATAGTGCTTCCCCTGATCATTAGTTTGATGCAAAGGACAATTTACAAAACATGCAAAGCTGCACTGAAAAGGAGCAAAGAGGCCTGGCACAAAGGTTGCCAAATTGTCGGGACATCAGCTGCAAGCCTGCAAGGCTGGACCATGCTGGACAATGCTGGACCAACATGCTTCATCCTAGGCCCTTCCCAGGAACCAACCAGTTTGGGATGACTGGTGTGCTTCCAGTAGTTTCGGACAGGTCCAACAGGGTCCAACAGGATTCGAAGAGACCAGAAATTGGGGCGTCCAAGACTACCCTCTGGTTATGTCAAAATAGCTATTGAAAATGGCCATTAATAGTGGATTTTCCCATTAAAAATGGTGATTTTCCATAGCTATGTTAAATTACCAGCGGGTATTGTGAACATGAATAAAACCAATAGTGAGAACACTGACAACAGAAACTCGCAAGTAGTTCTGGGCTGCGATCCTTGTCCCCAGCTACAAAGGACGGCAAGCACGAGAAGTTGTAGAGACATCGAAAACAGCTGCAGCTCGAGTGGCTATGTATGGCTCATATTATCTCGTATATGATGTCATGAGTCATATCGCTGATGCAAATACCTGCAGGTTGCAAAATTGACTGTTAAACTATCTAGGTCTCACAATTGGAACGACGCTAAAATAAAGACACTTTCACAGCATAGCATAGCATATAGCAAGAAGAGACGTCGTGCGCCTGTAATCTGAGAATTAGTCGTAGGATGCCAGAAATAGTCGTGGGATGTTGTAATTAGCCGTTGGAAAAAATGATAAAAAATGTATACATATATAGCAAGATCTGCAACTCAGCCAGCCAGTGATTTTCCTCTCTCGTCTGCCGTAGCTTTCACACGCTGCAAAGCTTCGGCCTCCATTTTTGACAGATTCAAACTATTTATGCAGACTTAAAAGCATATTCACTTTGCGTTACAGTACGTAGTCTAAGTATCACGAATGCAGAGAAGAACCCGTCCAGTCTAGTCCAGAGAGAACTCCAGACTAGAGTGGGTTTAGCAGAGTCTCATCTCAGAGTGGAATATTCGTGTCTATCTATCTACAATGAATGACTCTTCCAGAATCTAAGCACTTCATTATGCTCAAAAGAAACAGGACAATCGGAAAGAACTGATTTGAACTGATGCATTTCTTGTGGGGGAAAGGAACGGCTTGCTGCTTGGCATTCCATTTGTTTCAATTCCCAAATGCCGACCTTGTCCTCGGCAAAGTTCTCCGAGGCAAAGAGCGGATGGAAAATAAACGTCTTCTCCGGACCATCGAATTGTACCTGTCAACTTCACGCTGAAACTGCTGCACCCAAACAACACCTGGCTACAAAGATATGCAAAGAATTGAATAGTTGGCCCGTGGGTTCAAAAATGCTTTCAAAATGTTGTTTCACCCCAAAAAAAATGCACTTGTGTATAAGTGCAAACTAAGACACTTATTGCTTCCTAATGCTGAAAAATCTACTGCGGGAGTCTGCAGCAATCTTGATGCCAGGATTCTAAACTGATCTTGGAAGTCCAAGGATTACATTGCTTTGTTCGGAAATTGGATGTACCCAGAAATGGCATTAAATAAGCAGTGTTCAAGAGCCTCTGTCGTTCCATTCTCCTGGTTGGTTAATAGTGATTCCCATAGTGGACAATTAATGACATTGCACAATATATGCACAATATATATTATATATAATACACACACGATTATATATGTATATATGTATATATGTATATATGTATATATGTATATATGTATATATGTATATATGTATATATGTATATATGTATATATGTATATATGTATATATGTATATATGTATATATGTATATGTATTTATGTATATATGTATATATGTATATATGTATATATGTATATATGTATATATGTATATATGTATATATGTATATATGCATATATGCATATATGCATATATGTATATATGGATATATGTATATATGTATATATGTATATATGTATATATGTATATATGTATATATGTATATATGTATATATGTATTTATGTATTTATGTATATATGTATATATGTATATATGTAATATTATATATGTGTATATATGTATATATGTAAATATGTATATATGTATATATGTATATATGTATATATGTATATATGTATATATGTATATATGTATATATGTATATATGTATATATGTATATATGCATATATGCATATATGTATATATGTATATATGTATATATGTAATATTATATATGTGTATATGTATATATATGTATATATATATGTAATATGTCGGGTGGTATATCCTTCTATAATCATGAACCAACGGCAGTTTGGAACATTGCTTGAATGGCACTTTCAAGGTGGAAAATGTGGATGAACCAGATGTGCAATGGCCAAAACATATGGTATATGGGATATGGTAATCCTCATATCATTCGGAAATCTGTATATTTGAAATAAGAAGCACTAGTTTGCATTAGCTACTAATTGGAAAATTACCATTCCCTGCTATATTGATTTGATAGCCCCATCGATGTACACTGACCCCACCATTTATGGCTTGGACTGTAAATATAAAATCATATAAAATCACAGCTAGTTATAGATGATGAATCCCATATTTTCATCCCATTGATATCCCATGATCTCCCCATTTCCCAAGAATCTCGTGCCACGGCCTCCCGAAGGCGATTCGTTTGCAGGCTGCGTAGGGGGAAAATGCAGAGCCGGGACACGGGGTCCACGGGGTCGGCGGCGTGTTGCAACCGTCCCTGTGGTCCCTGTGGTCCCTGTGGCCTGATGCATCTGCAGGGGTAACGGGTGAAAAGAATGGAAGTTGTATATAAATTATATAATAATGTTGTATAGTTGTATATAACCATGGGATTTCAAATGATTTCAAACTTCATGACTTGGGATGTGGGGCCCGTAGAACTATGATGAACTATGGTTACACCACTTTATTTTTTTGGAACTGCACCCCCAAGTCGCTAAAATCGCCATGTGAAACATCGGCAATGGGCCATGGGGATATGTTTTTTTTTTCGGGAAAGTGGTCATTCACTTCAAAACATCAAATAGCTTTGAAATTGTTCATTAGGAATATGATCCCTATATTTCAAAGCTATTAAGTGATATATTTTAATAATGGAATATGATATAGTAATAGCTTTATCAGGAATATGATCATATATGATCATTAAGTGGATTCGGGGTATACATGCAATGTATACTTCCTATTTTTTGGCTAACCCGTGGGACGTCCGGCGACTTCCCGTCTGCCATGCTAGAAACCCCCCAGTGATAGCAGTTGATTCAATGGATCATCAAACTGGATTGTTGGTACTATATAACTATCCCCATTTAAGTCATATTTCCTGTGAAAGAACAGTCCCATCAGTCCATATCAGTCCCCCCTGACTTTCTGCTGATCCCATCGGACGCTGGGCCTTGGCTCAAGCTCGCCTGCCTCCACCAAAAGACGCACCAACGCGGACTGTTCCTGCACCATTGCTGGGTGAGCTCTTTTATCATCTTTTATTGTGGGCTCATGGCAGTTCCTATAATCATGCGCGTCAGAATCCCCAATAAACGTCAATAAACTATACAGGGAGGACTTGGGGCCAGCATGAATAGTCTGAATAGTCAAGAACCTCCAATAACTGATCAACAAGATTTGGATCACTGCTCAGGTGAGGATCACATGACACACAGTTTGAGTATCTGGCAGATGTTTTGTTTTTCCAAATCTTCATTTAACTTGGATGTTGTGCAGAGATGCGCAGAGATGTGCAGGGATACCAACTAGGCAATACAGCCATCACTTTGTAGGTGCAGAAAGAATGCCTTGTGGCAAGTTTAACATAGCTAATTATCGGTCCCATTTACAGATTTTTTTCTCATTAAACAAGGTGATTTTCCATAGGACAAAGGTTTGTTATAGGTTTGTTAAACTGTTAAACTACCAGAGGGTACAACACTGCTTCGAGTTGGAATTAGTACGAGCAGTGAACCTCTCAGTAGCCTGACATCCCTGGATGATAAAACAATCACCCCAGCAGCCAACAATTTACCACGATGATCCACAAGGTGTGTCATTATCATGTCCAGTGACTCAAGTTGTGCACTATGCTGAAGCTGGTCACTTGAAACACTACATTTCCAATATTTCCTCTATAGCAAACCAACTCACAGAGGCCTAGGTTCCTTGCTGGCTTCATCTTTCAGATGTTGTCCAGTTTCACACGTATCATCATTGGATAGGAGCGTCCAGCAAAGTTGCTCCCATGGTGTTCGGGGTTGACATCGCTTGATATGTATATATAAATATATATATATACATATTATGTATGTCATGATGAAATATAGGTTATATCATAATAGTATCTGTAGTAATTAGTAATAACGACAATAAGTCTAGTATGTGGTCCATTAAAAAAATATCTGCATAATTTAAATGATATTATATTATGATACGATATGTATCTCTTATCTGCATCCAAGTGTCATAGTAAGCCTTGCAATGATGCCGTCGCGAAAGATTTCCCTCCCAAAGCAGTCTCAAAAGGGTCTGGCACCAAAATGTCCTGCATTGCCAGCTCTCACAATGACTTTGCAGAAGATCCTAGATACTAATTTCGGTTTGTTTGAACATAGGGAATACAGCACTACAGTGCCTAAAAATTGCTATTTGAAAGAGAAAAATATGATAAACCACTGGATTTTGGCGTCCAAGTTTTAGATATTCCATTTACATAGCCAAAATGTACAGAAACGTTCATTCTCGATCTTCTTCCGCTATAAGTCTACCATCTGTTTGCCATTTGTCTAGTCAAGACGATACCTTTCCAAGATGCCCCATCAAAATGTGTCGAAGACCTGCCGCTGACCTCCCGCTGTGCCTGCGAAAGATCATCACGCCACAGTTCAAGCGACACTCTGCG